TTTTAAAACTTTAAACTCCTATATTGATGCATAATTGATATACAATAAGCTACTGTGGGGAGGGGTGTGGGGGGAGTACTGATATTGAACCCAAGGACACTTATCACTGAACTATATCCCCAGCCCTTCTTATTTTCTGTTTTGAGACAGTGTCTATGTTGCTGGCCTTGCACATGAAATCCTCTTGCCCTGGCCTCCCAAGTCACTGAGATTACTGGTGTGYGCCACCCTGCCCAGCCTGGGACGTACATATTTAAAATGTGTAGTTTGGGGTCTGGGGCTGGGKCTCAGCGGTAATGCACTTGCCGGGCACTAGGTTCGATTCTCAGCACCGCATATAAATAAATAAAAATAAAGATCTATCAACAACTAAAAAAATATTTTAAAAAATGTGTAGTTGGGTAAGTTTTGACACCTATCTACACAATTGAGATAATGAATATAGATATCATCCCCCAAAGTTCACTCATGTCACTTATATTTTCACAATTTTAATTAAAGGACTTAAATGATAATGTGCTTTTTTTTTTTGGTCTGGCATCTCACTCAACATGATTATTTTGAGATTCATCTGTGGTATTGTGTGTAGCAGTATAAGTTTACAGTTAGTTCAATAACATTGATCTGTGATGTTATGATATGTATTTTTATCCTTTTTTTCTGGTTTATGAGTTTCACAGCCCTTGTTATTTCTTAAATGACTAGAACAATAAGATTAAAGTGTTTGGCCATTTGTTATTGGTTCCTGCACCTGCTTCAGAACAAGCTTCAGAGCCAATAAACTGAAAGATAATCTTTTATTATCATATTGGGGAAATTTAGGCCTCAGAAATCCCCACACATTTTGGCATCACAGAAATTATCTGTGCTGTTGAGTGTGAAGGAGAAACTGGGTTTGCTTTTACTCTATTCTCTTCTGAGACTTTTAGTGTTGAGGTTCAAGAGGAAAGGATATGTTTTGCTCTTACTGAAGAACTTGGTGGTAAAGCAGTGTTACCATTTGTCTCCCACTGTACCTGTTTAAAATACATGAACAGAGTTTTTCTTAACAATGGGTACAAAAACATGCCTGACATTCACAGTGAGTAAGTCCGTAAAGCGACAAAGAAAAAGAGTCAATTTCCTATTGATTCTCATTAATAATAGCACAGGCAAACTTCTGTTGACCTCTACGCAATAAGGTTTGGATATGCCTATAAGTTACAACCACTTCCTAAGATTTCAGGATTCTATTATAACAGGCAGAATGTTTCATTAGTACCTGTTTCTCCAAAATCACAATTGGTTTACATATATTATCCATATACCCTATAAAAATAATGACTTTTTTCTTTTTTGGAACTAGGAATTGAGCCCAGGGGTTTTATATCATTGAGCTACATCCCCAATCCTTTTTATTTTATTTTGAGACAAGGTCTCACTAAATTTTCCATATTGGCCGTGAACTTAGCAATTCTTCTTCCTCAGCCTTCCCAGTAACTGAGATTACAGGTGGGTCCTACCATGCCCAGTTGATGACACCTTTTAAAAGGCCAGCATTTACAACAATGAAAATCACAAATAGGGCTAATATTGACATTCTACCAAGTACTTATTTGAAACCAAAAGAAAATATAATGTAGATTTCAGGAGTTCCCAAGTTACAGATAGTTTGCATTCTCCATTTTTGAAACTAAAAACAGCCTTTCTTATAGATATATCATAAGTCTAATAGCAAAGTAACAAATTCTGGGCATGTAACAGCCTGTTCTAAATAAGGGAGGGGTGGWCAAGAGCACTAGTAAAAGGCAAGCAGAAAATTATTTGCATTTGATGGAAACTGGCAAGGTTTGGCAAATAAAAGAAAATTTGATGGGAATTGGCACAGGCTGCCAGCCAGGAAAGCCAGAGTTAAAGAGCTGCCCCATTGGCTCTCCAGAACTACAATTCCCAGAATGCCTTAGTGCAGGGTCCTGGCCGGATACAGTCTTGGCTCTGAGGACAGCACAACCTGCTTGCTACTGGCAGTCTCTGGCCTCTCTGCGCTCATGGCTTCTCCTAACAAGGCAGTGATTRTTCCTGGGAATGGAGATGGGGATGTGGCCACCCACGGCTGGTATGGCTGGGTGAAAAGGGGGCTGGAGCAGGTAAGAGACATATATATGCCTCTCTGCTCTGGAAAGTCAGCCTGGAGCAGAGAGGAGGGAGTGAGGAGACACAGGACTGAAGTTTAAACATATATCCACCCCACCTCCAAGAAAGCCCTGAGTGTTTTATTCCTCCCCTTTGCTGCCCTCTCTCAAACTCTAGAACTAGTGGTCAAGATTTTGGTTGGCAATGACTTTTCTTAGAGCTCAGTTTTTAGAGTAAAAGAAAGCATTTAAAATTAAGGAAACCAAACCCCCATTCCTCCCCATTTGTTGATACTTCAAATTTGAGACTTCCCAAGTAATTTTACATCTCTTTATTGCGTCCTGCTTCCAGTTTAAAAAAAATCAATATATAATAAGGACATATGTGTGTAAATTATGAAGCTTAATATAATGTATCACCATACTATCTTCTAAATGATTTATATGCCTGTCATTCCATCCCTCTGCCATCCTGAAATTCATTTTTCTTTAAAAAATATTTTATTTAWTATTTTAATAATTTAATATTAATTTTATATTTTAATATTTATTTTTTAGCTGGACAGAGTATCTTTATTTATCCATTTTTATGTGGTGCTGAGGATCAAACCTGGGGCCCCGCACGTGCTAGGCTGAGCCACAACCCCAGCCCTCATTTGCTTTTTTTTTGAAAATTATTATTTTTTTTTTTAAAGAGAGAGTGAGAGAATTTTTTAATATTTATTTTTTTAGCTTTCAGCGGACACATCATCTTAGTTTGTATGTGGTGCTGAGSATCGAACCCCGGCTGCACGCATGCCAGGCGAGCGCACTACCGCTTGAGCCACATCCCCAACCCTTGAAAATTATTTTTAAAACTCATGTATTCTTTAAAAACTATATTGTTTGGCTTTTTTGTGGAAACGGTATTATACTGTGCAAAATGTCTTGCACATTTTGACTGTTTTTAAATCCTCTTCCATAATCCAGCAGTAAGATTGTTTCCTGAGTTGACCTCTAGAATAGAATTTCAGAGAAATTCAATAGAGTAAATAAATTCAGAAGAATAGAAGGTCTCTGGAATAGAATTTCTGGGTTGTGGCAGAAAGCCACAGGCAGAGCTACAAACCAGGGCTGGAGGGTCAGGGCTGGAGCTGTTCAAGAGGATGTGATATCCAACTTTCTGTATCATATTTCCGTACCATGTTTTACCTTCAACCTGGGGCACAATCTGTTTGGCTCCAGCTCAATCTGTCTAGAAAACATTCATTTATGCCTTCTCTATAGATACAGACCTTAGAGATAAATACAGATGTGCAAATGCAGATATAGGTCTATTTCTGTAGGGATCTACAGAGCTGGTTAGATGGAGTTTATGAGGAAGGATGTGTATTCATGTGTAATTCTGTAGCATTATTTATCATCACTTTATTCCATAATATAAGCAAACACTTATKGAATTGATGAAGATCATATCAGGTGTCTTTTTTTTCTTATTTGAAAATATTAGTTGCAATTAAGATTTTAATTGTAGCTTTTTTTACCCCCCTCATATCATAGATACCTGGTTTCCAGTGTCTGGCTAAAAACATGCCTGACCCAAGTAAGTTTTAAACTTCTTTTTAAATAGCATCATCTTGTTGGTTTTGGATCCTACCATTTTGGGGGGAAGAGACCAGGTATATCATAGTAGAGAAACCAAAGGGGTGTGTGTGAGTGTGTGTGTGTGTGTGTGTGTGTGTGTGTGTGTGTGTGTGTTTTGAATAAAGCAAGTAGCTTGGGGAGAAGGATATAAACCAAAAACCATGGAAGTTTCTAGTAAGGATCAAGAAAATAACCTGGGCATGGTAAAATTTTAATTTTGAATTTTATAACTTAATTTTCTCTTCTATAAGTCTACATTCAGGCAAAATTTGTGGGTATTCCATATGAGACAGAAACATGATAAAATTTTACAGCCTCTATTTGAGACCCTAATATTAAAAAATAAGTAATATTGTCCCTTTTGTTCTGGGTATATCTATGACTTGTTTCAGGAAAAGATGAATATGTTTGTATGTGAATCTTAGAATTTAAGAATATTTTTTTTAAGCTTGAAAGTTTAAAGTTTCAGTTATATTTTATTATTTCTTCAGTGTTCTTCAAACATAACATGGTAAAAACAAAAGCAAAACTATTTACCAAAACTATGGATTTGAGCATTTTAGTTCACATCACACACATCATGGGCTCAGTTAAAATAGCCCATTTTCTATTGTGATCATGCAGTTTAAAAGCTGTGAACTGCTAAATGGTTGTATCTTAGAAAGATGGGGTGGCATTAGATTGAGACTGTCCCTACCCAAWCACAGACTCTTTCTTTACCTTGAACCTTAGTTACAGCTCGAGAGAGTATCTGGCTGCCTTTCATGGAGACAGAGCTACACTGTGATGAGAGGACCATCATCATAGGCCACAGTTCTGGGGCCATTGCAGCCATGAGGTGAGATCTTTGTTGAACTGCCAGCCCCGTCATGAGTTCCAGCCATACTTCCTTGGGAAATACCTGTATATACCTTAGGTTTTCATTACAGAGGAAATAGTGCTGATCTCAAAAGTGGTAACATAACCTATCTTTATTCCTTCTTAGTTTTGTTAATGGCTTGAAAAAAAATACTTATGGGGATGCAGTGAGACTTAAAATCTGAGTGACAGGAAGCTGCTGTCTCCAAACCTCAGCAGCTTCCTGTCACTTACCTCTGATGTCTTTGCCACCCTTTCTCCTCCCAACCAGGTATACTGACCTCATTGCAACTCCTGGAACATGCCAAGTACATTCCTTCTTTATCTTGCTCTTGGTTTTCTTTTGCTTTTTTTTTTTTTCAATTAGAGTTTTATGGTTATACATAAGAAGTTGGTTTCATCCAAATTCATACATGCACAGAAATCTATTAGTTCATGATCTCCCCTTTTTCCTCCTGCCCTTCCCCTCCCCTTCTTCTTCCTCTACTAGACTTCCTTTTCCTCCTCTATTATTTTGTATTGGATTGGTTCTTTATATAAATCTTATCCTTCCCTCCCCTTTCCTTTATTTTACTCTAGCTACTGAATATAAGAGAAAACATTCAACCATTGAGTTTCTGAATGTGACTAATTTCACTTTGCATGATATTCTCCATTTCTATCCATTTACTGGCAAATGCCATAATTTCATTCTTTTTATGGCTAAGTAGAACTCCATTGTGTAGAAATACCACAATTTCTTGATCCATTCATCTATTGATGGGCATCTGGGTTGCTTCCATAATTTAGCTATTGTGAATTCTGCTGCTATAAACACTAATGTGGCTATGTTTCTGTAGTATGCTGATTTTAGATCTGGAAAATACCCAGGAGTCAGATAGTGAGGTCATATGGTGGTTCCATCCCTAGTTTTTTGAGGAATCTCCAAACTGCTTTCCAGAGTGATTGTACTAGTCTGCAGTCCCACCCATGATGTATAAGTATCCTTTCTCCCCACAATTACACCAGCATTTTTTTTTTTTTTTTTGGTACCAGGGTTTAACTCAGGGGCACTTGACCACTGAGCCACATCCCCAGCCCTATTTTGTATTTTTATTTTGAGACATGGTCTCACTGAGTTGCTTAGGGCCTTGCTAAGTTGAGGCTGGCTTTGAATATGAGATCCTCCTGCCTCAGCCTCCGCCTCCCGAGCTGCTGTGATTATAGATGTGTGTCATTGTGCCAGGCTTGTTGTTCGTATTCTTTATCATTGCTATTCTGACTGGAGTGAGATGAAATCTTAGCGTAGTTTTGATTGGCATTTCCCTGATTGCTAGAGATGTTGAACAGTTTTTCATGTATTTATTGGCCTGTTGTGTTTCTTCTATTGAGAAGTTTCTGTTTAATTCTTTTGCCCATTTATTGATTGGATATGTATGTATGTATGTATTTTGGGTATTAAGTTTTTTKAATTCTTTGTATATTCTGGATATTGGAGGAGTCGCTGGCCAAGATTTTCTCCCATCTTGTTGGCTCTCTCTTCAAGCTCTTGTTTCCTTAGCTGTGTAGAAGCTTTTTAGTTTGATGGCATCTCACTTACTGATTATCAGTTTTCTTTCTTATGCTTTGGGGGTCTTGTTAAGGAAGTCTGTGCCAGCATCTATATAATGGAGTGCTGACCCTATGTTTTCTTCTAGAAGTTGTAAGGTTTCTGGTCTAATTCCTAAGTCTTTGATCCATTTTAATTAGAGTTTTGTGCAGGGTGAAAGATAGGGATCTAATTTCATTTTTCTACATACACCTATCCAGTTTTTCCAGCACCATTTATTAAAAAGGCTGTCTTTTCTCCAAGATATATTTTTGGCATCCTTGACAAATATCAGACAACTATAGGTTTGTGGGCTTTTCTCTATGTCTTCTATTCTTTTTTTTTATTATTTTTTTTATTTTTTAGTTTTCGGCAGACACAACATCTTTGTATGTGGTGCTGAGGATCGAACCTGGGCCACACGCATGCCAGGCGAGCGCGCTACCGCTTGAGCCACATCCCCAGCCCCTATGTCTTCTATTCTATTCCATTGGTCTTTATGTCTATTTTGGTGCTAATACCTCACTATTTTTGTTACTACAGCTCTGTCGTATAATTTCAGATCAGATATTGCGGTGCCTCTTGCTTCACTTTTCTTGCTTAGTATTGCTTTGGATAGTTTGGCTCTCTTATTCTTCCAAGTGAATTTTAAAATTGTTTTTTYTAATTCTGTGAAGAATGTTATTGGTATTTTGATTGGTATTGCATTGAATCTGTATTTTGCTTTTGGTGGTATGGCCATTTTGACAATATTAATTCTGCCTATCCAAGAACATGGGTTGTCTTTTCATCTTCTAAGGTTTTCTACAGTTCCTTTCTTCAGTGTTCTATAATTTTCATTGTAGAGCTTTTTTACCTCCTTCATAATGCCAAGGTTTTTTGWTTGTTTGTTTGTTTGTTTTTTAGATTATGGTTTTCCTGATTGATTTCTTCCTCAATCAAATCACTTTTGGAGTATAGGAAAGCTATTGATTTATGGGTGTTGATCTTGTGCCCTGCTACTTTGCTAAATTCATTTATAAGCTCTTCTGGTGGAGTTTTGTTGTTGTTTTTCTATTTTTTAATCTTTTATGTCATCATCAAACACTTGCTCTTGGTTTTCTTCTTGGGACACTGCCCCTAGTTATCTGTATGGCTTTCTCTTCCCCTTTCAGTCTGCTTGAATGTCTGCTTATGGTAGTGTCTTTTCAATCACTGTGTATGAAACAGCATCCTCACCCTCTGGCTCCTGTCCTCCTATAGCCTATTATCTGTAGCCTTTTCATCATCTGACATCCTGTTTATTTCTTGTCAACAGAATGTAAGCCCTTGTAACTCTGACATTGATACCTCACTGCTTAGAGGAGAACCTTGTATATGGTAGATGCTTAATAAGTTTTTCTTAGAAGGTTGGGGCTGTTACCCCTACCTACTTGCCCCCTCCCAGTCCTTAGGATTTGTAGGTATATCCCTGGTGCTGTCCACTAGAACATCACATCTCTTCCTTCACCTTAGGGGTAGAGACTTAAGCTGGCTGAGTAGCCTATCAGGCAGTTTCTTAAACTGGATGACAGAGGACAGTAGTTTTTATTTGTGTAGCCACTTGCCCCAAGCAATCACTCAGGATATCACATGAACCACATTAGGAAATCTTGCCAAATTTCATAACCGATTAGCCATAATGATCAAAACTGCAGGAATAATAATGCTTTTAGTGAAATGAAATAGTGGTAYAAATATAGTATAAGATATTAACAAGCTGCCAGGGGGTGCCTAGAAAATGAAGAGATTCCTTTGTTGCTGAAATCTGTCCAAATTCAAGGTCAACTGAATTTTTCTTAAGCCACAGGCTATAAAGATGTGCCTTCTTTTAATGACCTCTGGATTTATTGCAGGATTGTCAACAACCTCCTAAGAATTATATTCTGAAGTTAAGGGARGCAAGGGGAAAAACGGTGCCCAAACTGACAGTATAAGGTTATAGGAGAAAGGAAACTGACACAATCACAGAGAACCACCCTACATTACTTATTCATCCCAAAGGGGAAATTGTGCTTTTATAATAATGGAGATGGCTGGTGGATGTCACCTTAAACAAGTGATTAGACTTAATCTCACCAATAATGAGACAGACTGACATCATGTGTCCCTGGAAGGATGAAGTTGGAAGGACACATGACCAAGAATATTGAATCTCAGTCTAGTTATGGGAAAACAAATTCAGATTAGGGAATAGTGTACAACTGGCCTAAAATCTTACTGAACAATGTCATTTAAAAYGAAAGATTTAAAAGTGACTTAGGAGTCATGAAAATAAAATGCAATGCAAGATCTTTGATGATCTAGGAGTGTAAAACAGTTTTAAAGGATATTTTTGGTACAGTTGGGAGAAAATGAATATAAGTAATTACTTTATCAATGTTAATTGGGTATAATAGTGGTACTGCAGCTATATAAGATCTTGTTCTTGAGAAATACATTGTAAAGTAAGGGTGAAATGTAAAAAATGCAATGAATTTAGCTTTTTCTTGTTCTTTCAGCTTTTCTATGGGTTTTATATTTTAAAAAATAAACAGTTGGGAGGAAAAGTTTATACCAAGGAACAAAATACCAGCCCTAAAAGTTTTGTGCCACAGAAGCATCTTCAAACAATTCCTATTCCACCTCTTTCCTTAGCYAAGTCTTTGCTGAGTAATGGTACTATCTAAAGATAGGTAACTGGGTATCTACTTGCTGGACACTATACTAGGTATCAGAGACAGATCAACAATGCTCAAGCTTCCTTTTAAGGAGCTGGCAGTTTAATGGGGAACAAAGATGTAATACATAACAAATGAATAATATAATGCAGTGTGGAAAGTGTGATAATAGAGGTACATTTCTCATATAGGCTGTGTTTCTTAAGATATGGTTCATATATCACTTGCATTAGAGTCATCTGGGTTGGGGGAGATATCATCCCTTAAAGTACAGATTCCTGGGCATTATCCCCAACTCCCTGAATCAGGTCCTCTGGGGATTAGCGGGGAATATGCAGATCTGGGGAAAAAAAACAATACCAATGCATATTAAAGGTGGATGAATGCACACATCAGAGCTTTGAACTTTCTTGAAAAATGAGGAGGAGTTCATCAAGCAGCCAGGGTTGGGCTTGTCCTACAATTTCCTTGCTATTTTTCATAACAACTGYAATAGCATGCTTCCTGTAATCAAATGAGTTAGGTGGCTTGTTGACTTTGGTTGTTGTTGTTGTTCTACTTAATTGTGCATGATAGCAGAATGCATTTCAATTCATAATACACAAATGGAGTGCAACATTTCAATTCTCTGGTTGTACATAGTGTAGAGACATACTATTTGTGCAATCATACATGTATGGCTTATTGATTTTTTTGATAATCAGATTTTAAATATTAACTGACATAATTTTTCTGTTTCCAGATATGCAGAAACACATCGAGTATATGCTATTATATTAGTGTCTGCATACACATCAGATTTGGGGGATGAAAATGAGCGTGCAAGTGGTAAGTCTGAAGGCAGAAATCCCAAAAGTCCTTCTAGACAGGGTTATTTGTTCAGACTATAAAATAGTACTCTTTCAGATAAGCTAAATTTAAAAAAAAAAAATTTAAATTGAGTAAATGAAACGGAGGGATGGAGGAAGGAAATCTAATAGCATATGAGAAAGATTTATCACCTATCTTTTGATGTGAGGCAGTTTGAAAGGTAATAGACCTCTTTACAACCAAAATTCTGAGAGGGCTGGTTTTATTTGAGTCATTTACTCCCTCTTTACAAATAGCTATGATCCGAAAGCCTTGCAGGTCTAGGAAAAAAAAGAAAAAGTGCTTCTCATTCATCCATGGATCCTGATCCTTTGTGTCTCTGTGAGGGTCTCCACTGGATATTCCAGAATGTCTGAAATGGAGATTATTCATGGGCATTGACAGGTTATTCCCCCCCCCCCACAACCATAGGATACTTCAACCGTCCCTGGCAGTGGGAGAAGATCAAGGCCAATTGCCCTCACATTGTGCAGTTTGGCTCCACTGATGATCCTTTCCTTCCCTGGAAGGAACAACAAGAAGTGGCAGATAAGTTGGAAGCCAAATTGTACGAATTCACTGATCGCGGCCACTTTCAGAACACAGAGTTTCATGAACTGATCAATGTGGTAAAGTCTGTGCTGAAAGTATCAGCATAATCTGGTGCTTGCTGTTTTGTATTCCCATATAGGAGCAGAGTAATAACTTCCATTTTCAGACAATAACTAGATATAAAACATCCAGTTTAGTTCCAAAAGTGCCTGAAAAACAAACACAAGTTTCAACGTCACACTGAGTTACAGACAAAATTTCCATTTTCTGTAGTATCTAAATCTTCCCAAATTGCTCTGAACTGCAGGGTTTTTGTTGTTGTTGTTGTTTTTCCCTATTTGGTTGGGGACCTACAGGTAGTTCCATCCTTATTGATCCAAAGARCTAAAGTCAGAAATGGAAACCAGGTGTCCTGATTCTCAGTCCAGATTAAAACTAAATAGATTTTCATATATGTTATAGAATAGTATTCTTTTCCTCTTTGAAATAAAACTTTTCTGTTTTGTTGGGGAGAGAAAATATGACTAAAGGTCCAGAGTGTTGGCTTAGAGCTCAACTCACTAACTTGTATTTCAATCAGCTCTGAATATTGTAAAGAGGGAGTAAATGACTCAAAACTTGGGCCTTTACCACTGCCATTACCCACTACCCCTTGGTCCTTCAGACAGGTTGAGAGACCAAYACATAATGATGCTGGGTCAAAGATCTCCCTGAGTCTTGCAGGGAGCAGGAGCACAGGCTATCTATATATCAGCAAAGGTGACGAATTTTTGTAAGACAAGACTGGTAAGATCAGGGTCATGTGGAGAGCTCATGTCCTTTCTGAATTGTTGCCTTGAGGAAATTGACAAGGTGTTGCCAATTTTCTTTAATTTTTTTTTTTGTTGTTGTTACTGGGAATTGAACCCAGAGGTGCTTTGCCACTGAGCAACACCCTTCCTTTTTTTATTTTTTGAGATAGGGTTTGCCAAGTTGCCCAGGCTAGCCTCAAACTTGTGATCCTCCTGCCTCAGCTCCTGAATTGCTGGGATTACTGGCATCTACCACTGTGCTCAGCCGACTGACATTTTGAGGAAAAAAAATCTTAGTTTTTTTAAAATTTAGGAAATGTATATATACGTGTATGATATATATATATATATATATATATATATATATATATATATATATATACATCATTTTCCATATGGATTATGTTAGTTGGCAACAACACTGTAAACCAAGAAATTTTAAAATACTACAAGATAAAATCCAAGTCATCCATTAGCCAAGTGACACAGATGATTCTCTACAAAGCACAAGAAAAACATAAGTAAAAAACACAACAAACATAATTAAAGGATGAAGAACATGGGAACAATATGGATTTTGTTACAAAGTCTTATTCCAAGTATGGTTATGTAGAGTTCAACCTTTTGACTTCCTAAAGATCTCTTTCAAGCATCATTCCAAGATTTTTCTTCTGATCCTACTCCCTCAGAACAAACAGGGGGCTGGGGTTGTAGCTTAGTGGTAGAGTGCTTGCCTGGCACGTGGAAGGCACTGGGTTCTATCTTCAGCACCACATAAAAATAAATGAAACAAAGGTATAGTGTACATCTTCAACTAAAAAAAAATAAAAAATAAAAAACAACAACAAAACCCCACAACCACAAAGAAACCCTTTTTCATTTCTCAACATTTTCTGGCTATTATAATGCCTAAGTATTGCCTAACACAATTTCTATGAATTTACACTCTATGTTAGAGAGCTTGAATTTGATGCAGAAATATGATTTGCCACATTGTTTATCCCTGAAGGGATTCAAGAACCATTATTTTAACCTGAAAAGGTTTTAGTTTCTACATGTACTTAGACATAGAAAAAAGTCAGAAAAGACATTMTAAACTTTTGACAACAATTATCTTTGGGAGAAGGGAATTTGGTAGGTAGTGTAGTAGATGTCCTCATTTTCCTTTATTCACCATGTGGTTATTTGAATTTGTAACACTGAACATGTATTACTTTAATCATTAAAATAAATAAGATTTAAAACAACTTATTTGTCAAGCTAGTAAAAAGATTAGATTCAGCAGTTGAATAGATCAAACCTATAATCAAAGATTTATTCTATTTGAATTATTTGGAAATAGTATTTTATTACKGTCTTGTTTTCTAAAGTCCTTTCTTTCTTTAAACACTTATTTTTATAACATCAGTTTACAATGTTTTCCTCTTCCTCCATGGGGGAAAACCCCCAAATGTATACAGTTGAGGAATAGTCTTTATTCCTGTAAGAGCAATTAAGTCAGACATATGACTATTGAGCTCTGCTGCCCAGTATGAGCAGTAACAACAGTAGTTAAATATGAAAAATTCAGTTCAGTCACACAAGCCAAATTTCAAGTGTTCACCAGCCACAAGTGGCTAATGATTGTTATGGGACAGCAACTATAGAATATTTCCATCATAGAAAACTAATGGTCAGCACTAGTCTAGGGCTTTCTTCACCCACCTCTAATAGTTCAAAGTAAAAGTGACTTCATTGAAATTATTTTTGTGTGATGTGGTGCTAGGAATCAAACTTGGGGCCTCAAACATACTAGGGAAGTGCTTTCCCACTGAGATACATTCTAAGTCCCAAAATTACTTGTTTTGACTACTTTCCTTAGTTGATTACCATCAAGTAATAACTTTAAATTTTGTTCATTGCCAAACTGAATCCAAGTTTCATATGAGAATCTATGTTAATTCATTAAAAACCATAAAATCATGGAATCTCAGAATTTGATAATCCATAAATCATTATTAAACAGACTTCCTTGAAAGTCTGAGGAGTCATCTATCCCCAGGTGAGCAAATATCTAAAACCTAGTAGTAAGGAACTTAATTGTTCTTACAGGAAATCAACTAARTATTAGAGGATTTCACTTACAAATTTAAKTTTTTGATATTGTCATGAGTTTATCATGTTTTGGTACCAGGTTATCTCTGTAGAATAATTAATCCATTGAATATATATCTGAGGTGCTGTATTTTTAAATTATTGTCTGTTTTTCCTTCAGTTAATATTCAGAATAAAATACAAACTATAGCAAAATTAAGTTTAAAGGGTCTCTTTATTTTGACAAGGCAGGAAATACTTTTTGTTTTAGACACTGGTTGTAAATTTTAAAAACCAATCACTGTATTCTGATGTCTGTCCAATACATCAGACACTAGAAAGGCAATATGTCAATCAATGGAAGGGAAACTGATGTGATACAGCAATTTGTATACGGGGTAAAAGGGGGAGTTCATAATCCACGTGAATCAAACCGTGTAATATGATGTATTAAGAACTATGTAATGTTATGAACGACCAATAAAAAAAAAAAACAACCAATCACTGGCTATTAAGACACATTGTGAAGTCTACATTTAAAACACAAATTGGTTCCATCTCCCCATTTCTACTCTCATCCAAATTCAGTTTTCTTATTAAATAAGACTAGTGTCTCTTTGATAGGTAAGTTCCAAGGAGGACAGACATTATTCTTACCATTCCAACTCTCACTAGAAGAAAAATCCTCTGTAGTTTCAGGCTTCCAGATCTTTTTATAGCTTATATTCATCCAATACATGAATGATTTTTATTATAAGGAATTCCTGTCATTAAATGTGAATTTTATAGAGCTGGCCACAGAATTTATATGATAAAAACTGAATACTGAGATGAATTTTACCAGTTATTTTAAAATAACTAGTCTAATCTTGTCCCCTTAGAACATCTCCAAACTTGTGTTAGAATTAAGCCTGCAAGAGGAGCTGTGTGTGAATTCCCTTAGGTTGTTCGTTCTGTGGGTCTGGCCTGGACAAAAACTACAAAGTGAAACCACAACTGCTGAGATCCTAAAAAGCTGTATACCTACCTTCTGTGCAACAACACATCAAATAACCTAGAGTTTTCTACACTGGACGACTATACTTTTCTATACTGACGACTAGAACCGGGAGTGCTAATAGATCTCAGGACAGTTACACAGTAGTGGCTTTTTTTGATTATGTGACACTATGAGTTTTAGAACAGAGAAAGGAAAAGAAACAAATCTAAAACAGGGTAAGAACTGTCCCCATCACCCTCAAAATAAAGTAAGAATGGAAGGAATGGTTTTTTTCTTTTTTTTTGGTTTCAGTTCTAGTTAAATGGATACACATTGTCTTAATCCCTTCTGTGTGTTATACAGAATACTACAGACTTGGGTTTTATCAACAACAAATTTATTTCTCACAATTCTGTAGCCCAAGATATCCAAGATCAAGGCACTGGCAAATTTGGTGTCTGGTGAGGACCACTTCCTGGTTCACCAATGGTTGTCTTCTCCCTGTGTACTCACAGGGCAGAAGGTACAATAAGAGCTCTCTAGGTTCTTTTAAAAGGGCACACATTCCCTTCTTGAGTATTCCATCCTCAAACTATTACCTTCCAAAGGCCTCAAATACCATCACATTGTGCATTAGATTTTAACATCTGAATCTGCAGGGATGGGAGAGTTCAGACACATAAACACTGTAGACATCATATAAGAATCCAGGGAAATTCTGGTGAAGAATACACTTGAGCCACATAATGAAGCTTGTAAGACTTTAACAAAGGAAAAGTRAAGATATTCCCTTTATGATGAAAATGATAATATTTACGCACTGAAACATCCTTGACAATATTCATCCTTTGGGTTTGAGGTATGGTAGCACAATCCTTCAAAAGAATATTACTGATATAGGAAGGAATCAATAGTGTGTAGAAAAGGAATGTCCTACTCTCCCTCACTTAATGYTTCTTCAAGATTTCATATACTCTTGTGCTGTTACTGTCTTCACCATTTTTAATTTCTTCTCAATGAAACTACTGAGAAAACAGGAAACAAAAATGGTGGTAATGAGCTAAACGTAAAAATTTTTTAACGAAGACCTTAATAAATAACTTTAAAAATGAATATTTGTGCTCTAGCTATTTCCATAGTACTTGGCAAATAAGGGTTTGTTGTTTCTTTTTCCTTGATCCATCAAAAGTCTTGAAAACTTCAAAAGATGTTGTTCTCCAGGGCTTCAATTTTTTTATTTATAGAAGAACAGATTTCACTTCTAACCTCATCTGTTTCATATTCTGATGGCCTCTCTACCAATATAAATTTAGTCTTTATAAATAAAAAAACAGGTTTTCATAGCAGCAAGTCTGTATCCATTACTGTGAATCTGCTTTCAAGGAAATTTGATGTTCCATCATGAATTAAATTATTTGGTCTCCAAGCAACTTCATTTGTATAATGTCAGTAGAATTTATCATTCTCCATCAAAATTCGAGCCATTCTGTCATGTAAATACAGTTAGATGGTGAAATCTCACCACCTTCATGGCAGTCATCAAAAACCTTAAAAAAAAAAAAAAAAAGAAAAAGTTTATATTCAAACTGAATTTTTAAAAATATCTATGACCCAACCACTATTTAAAACAATATTTTTCTCAACTTTTAAAACTGAACAGGATTAGGGGTATATTTAACACCATATTATAATAGAACTGYTTTCTGATCATAGTTTAAAGGGAGGCCTTTTACTGATGCATTAAGATGATTATGTTTACCTGCCCACTGAGTAAAAGGCTACCAGGAGGAAACAGAAATGCAAGAAGAGAGTCCTATACTATGCATGACTTAGTTTAGTCTAACTGAATGCTTCATGTTTAGCTATCTTCCTTCTTGTGAAGGGTGCTAAACAGAATTCTCAATGTTAGTCTTTTATCTATGAGTTAAAATCAGGACAGAGCAAGCTTGGGCATATAGACAAGGGCCAGTAAAATGAAATATAGCACAGACTAGCAATCTGAGAATATAAATCCATGAGAACTTGGGAGTATCTCTTGCTCTGTTGTAGCCTCAGTGCCTATAGCATACTGTTGGTGCTCAAAACCCACCTGGGAATGAATAAACCAAAGTGCTAGGACATACGGGGAAAAATACATCATTTTGGGGTTTGAATTCTGACAGTTGCTTCTAAATTGTTGCTTTTAGGTCTTCTGAAGCCTAAATTCCCTTGCTCTTAAGAGGGAAATAACACTATTTGCTCCCAGGACATAAGGAGGATTAAATGAGACCATAAAATGAAAATCATAAAGAACATGCTGGGCCAGTGGTAGATTCTCAACAAATTTCATTTCCCTCCCTAGATGAAATGATTAGCCCTCATCAAAAAAAAAAAAAAAAAAGTGTCTATTTCAGGGCCAAGAGAAGAAATGCAAATGTCCTTAACCTGGTTATTCCAAGAAAGAATGTAAGGCAAAGTTTGTTCATTAAAGGTCTGTTCATCAAGGTTGCATGAAGGTTTGAACAGCTCTTGGTCAACTCTAAATAGTATGGGAAAACTGGAGCGCTTGCTCTGTGACATTTACACCCGGCAGTAAAGTGAAGTCACTTTAACTTACTGGGCAGAGCCCGCAGGGTGCTCGGACTAAACCTGTGGGTGGGATGATTGGATTGACTGCCCTGTACAGTTTCATATGTCCGTCTATACTGCCAACTGTGCCTTCTTTTGCAGCAATGATAGTCATCTCCACTTTCCCATCATAAATAAGTGTATTCAAGATGGTTTCAATGTCTTCCATGGACAACTCTACCTGAAAAAAAAAAAAAAGAGATAAATTAGAAGGGATGCATAAAGGATAAGAAGACATCTTTTTGGAAGGTGTTATAAACAGTAAAGGGTCACAATTCCTTGGTGAAATGGCGAAGCACTGTGCTGGAGAGGAGTAATGGAAAGCACAAGGAGGGTGAACGACGCTCCAAGTTAGCACAAACCCCTGAAATGCTAGGGACAAAAGTCTAACCTCAGGCTGAGTCTGACACTTTTGAAGTCTTCACCACCCTAAAGAAACATTTCTTTGGCAAGAATTTTATAAAGATTCTTAATATGCTTGCAAAGTTTCTAGTTCTTTATAAATCAGAAATMTGTTGTCCAGAAAATGAAAATAACTTGTCCAAGTGCTACTTCAGGGGCTGGGCTGTAGCTCAGTGGTAGGCTGCTTGCCTAGCATGCACAAGGCCCTGGGTTTAATTCCCAGTACCCCCCCAACCCACCCCCCCAAAAAAAAAAACAAGTGCCACGTCACGTAAGCAGAAAAGAATACCAATAAATGATAACTGATGTCATGATTGAGGTTTTGCACATATGCTAAACTATTCCTGCAAAGGTGAAGAACTTGTTAGAACAAACTTCTGACTTTGGATGGTGAAATGCACTACTAGACCTGTACTTGGCTACTCTATGTCCCAAACTCAAGAATGGTTTAGGCAATGTCCAATGGGAATGACTGCCTTTACCTAAGGCTTAGGACAATGTTTTCTCAATGTAGATTCAGCAGAATGTTCATAGCTATTACTGAAAAAGGGACCTGGTCAAATAATGCTTGGTACACACTGTACRTTAGTTATATCTTTGTGATGAAGAATAAATTTTATATAAAAAGATAAGAAAGTTCTGACCTTGCTTATTCCCAGTTCACAGATATATTTCCATACTTCATGTGATGAAGCAAATGAACTATTTCTTTGTATCATTGGATTCTGTTTGCTTTCTCGTGCTGTTTCTGCCTATAGGGGTTGGAATATAAGAGATCTAAGCAAAAATGTAGTAAGCACTTTCTGAATGCAATTTATACTGAGTCAAACCAACAGTAGAACACATTTGTTTACTAAAAATAACCAACTTCAGTTCTTTTCAATCTTATAAAACGTAGTATATAAGATTAAACAACCTTTATGAAGAAACTTTTTTAAAACATAACTTGTGGTGATGTTTCTTCAATTATGCCTTACCTTGGTTTGTAGGAATTTAAAACACTGTTGGTTAAGTACTTCTACAAATTCAGATTCAAAATCCTGGTCACTGTACCAGGCTCCACCAGTCACAGACCGGTCCGGCTGCAGGTTATAGAGCATATATACTTTCTTTTTGGAGGCCTARGAAAGAATACACACAGTTGATGTGTGATAACAGTTTCTAAAAATTAAGTTTTTAAAAAGTAAACTTTATATTTTAGCAAACTTTTAGATATGCAGAATTACACAAAGATAGTAGAGTTGCTGTATAATTCATACTATTTTCCCTATTATTAACATCCCTATTATTAACATGTATTAGTATGATGAACTTTTCACAATTAATGAACCAATATTGATATAAATTTTTTTTTGAAGACAGGGTCCCACTTTGTTGYCCACGATGGTCTATTACCCTTGGGCTCAAGAGATCTTCCCACTTCAGCTTCCCAGGTAGCTGGGAAGTGCAAGGAACACTTGCACTTGTAGCTGAGGTTACAGGAACATGCCACCATACCCAGCTTGATATTATCATTAACTAAAGTCCATTTTTTATTCATATTTCATTGGTTTTCCCCTAATGTCCATTTTCTGCTCCCAATTCAGGACACCATATCACAAGTAGTTGCCATTTCTCCGTAGGCTTCTTTTGATTGTGACAATTTCTTTCTTTCTTTTTTTTGCAGGGGGCAGGGGTGGTATTGGGGATTGAACTCAGAGGCACTCAACCACTGAGCCCCATCACTAGCCTTATTTTGTAATTTATTTAGAGACAGAGTCTCACTGAGTTGCTTAGCACCTCGCCATTGCTGAAGCTGGCTTTGAACTCAAACTCTTGCCTCAGCCTCCTGAGCCACTGGGATTACAAGTGTGCRCCACCATGCCCGGCAGTTGTGACAATTTAAACACTTATATTAGTTTGGACTCATGAATATTTATTTTGTAATTTGAATTACAATCCACTACTACTGTTATTCCAATTTTTCTAGCTTTGAGCAYTGGAAACTTTTCAGTTGGTTTCTGAATCCCTTTGACATACCCCAATCATTGTATGAGTGTTTTACACTTCTTACTTTCTGGTGCTATAAGATGTCAGGATCATCTTGTATATTTCCTGTCTTCATCCTTGAATCAGCCACTACTCCAGGAAGTCCTGGGTCACTTTATTGGAAAATGCTATCAGAAACCATTAATTTGCTACTGAGGTGCCATTACTTCCAGACCCTCTTAGCTGACAGAGCAAGATTTGTAACCCCTGTATGTATACATACCTATAATGAGTATCTCTGTATATAACCATTTACATTAAACATGAGTTCATAATGATATCTCCAACACTAAACCACTACCACATGGACTGCCTTGCACTTAGCTCTAACTTTCCAACTTTCCATTTCCACTCCAACACTAAGAAATCTGAATCTCACTGTTATTTAATAAAGAATTTAGTTAGCCTTTGTCTCTCACTTTTTTTTTTTTTTTTTTGGTTCTTTTTAGTTATAGATGGCAGTAGAATATTTTTGTCTCTTGATTCCTGGGAAATAACCACTACTTTTTAAAATTTCCCAATAAGATATTTCCTTTTATTTACTGGTCCCTTGGACCATACCTGGATTTATGCTAACAAGGTGACTTTTGATGAACCTCTGATGGAAGCTTTCCATGCCGGAAAGCCCAATAACATGATTTAGAAGGTTGGAACATCAATCTAATCTTTTAGAAGGGGAGCAGGGCTAAAGCTTGAATTCAGTCACATCAAGCATTCAATTGATCAGACCAATATAACAAAACTCCAGTGAAAATTCTGAATATCAATGCTTGGATGAATTTCCTCGGTAACCGTACATCAATGTGCTTGGAGGGTGATATTTCCAGAAGATATGGAAATTTTTTCATTTTGGAATCCTCCCAGTCCTTGACCTATGTGTATCTTCAATTGGCTGGTTCTTTGTAGCCTACATAACTGTAATGGTAAGTACAGCACTTTCTTGAATTCCAGGAGTATTCTAGCAAATTACTGAATCTGAGGGAGTCTTTGGAGCCCCTAAATTTGTAGCCAGTTGGTCAGAGTGTGGGTGGCCTGGGGAGACCTGAACTTACAACGGGTGTCTCAAATGAAGATACTCTTGGAGGGCGGACGGGGACTGTGCCTTTAACCTGTGTCAGAATTGCATCGCAGCCAACACCCCCCATCGTTTATATACATATTCAATTATAATACACTATGTATGGTAGTATCAGAATGATAAGCCAGAATCCTCATGGGAAAGAATTGCATCAACTCAAGTACAGTACTCATGTACACTTTCTTCGCTTTTAGTTTTTCAGATATCCCTGTCCGACCTCCTCCCCCTTACTTCTTTTTTTTTTTGTTTTTTGTTCTTTTGGTACTGGGGATTGAACTCAGGGGTACTCAACCACTGAGCCACATCCCCATCCCTAGCTCCATTTTGTATTTTTATTAAGAGACAGGAGGGTCTCACTGAGTTGCTTAGTGCCTCGCTGTTGCTAAGGCTGGCTTTGAACTCACAATCCTCCTGCCTCAGTCTCCTGAGTTGTTTTAAATCACAATATAGCTTAAAGAATAAAAACTTGAAACATACTTGGAACAACATATTTAAATGAATATTTAGGGAAAGAAAAAACTACTTACTGCTACAGACTTAACAGCTTTGATAAGCTTTTTACTTTCCAAATTCTTTAGAATTTTGTTGATTTCTGTTAATGGTAAGTTACTTTTATATCGAATATCTCTGCTCCATATTCCTATAAGAAAGTAAAATAAGTTGCACTATGGTGTTTATGGCTTTTTGTTTCTACTCCTATCACATATATCTCATTCCAAAACTACCAAAATAAAGTTATAGTACATCCTTTAACAAAATGTTTTACGTAACTGTTTTAAGATAAAAATGAACAAAAACACAACCCTGGATTTAAAAAAAATACAAAATTATGCAAAACAATAAATAAGTGCTATTCTTTTCTTTTTTCTTTCTTTTGGTACTGGGTATATTGAACCCAGAGGTGCTTAACCACTGAGTCACATACCCAGCCCTTTTTATCTTTTTATTTTTTGAGAAAAGGTATGCTAAATTGCTTAGGGTTTTGCCACGTTGCTGAGGCTGGCTTTGAACTTGGGATCCTCCTGCCTTAGCCTCCCAAATTGCTGGGATTACAGGCATGCTCCACTATGCCCAGCAATAAGTCCTATTCTTTATAGTATAACTGGAAACTTCTTAGACTCCCATGAAGRTATCTTCTTAAAGGCATATGAAAAGGACATTTTTGTAATGAAAGACAAAAAACATGAATGTTAATAAATTAACTTATGTCATCTCTTTCWTCCCTTCCTGCACCCTAATCTCTGTCTCCTGATATTTTCATTCTAGACTATAAATGTGAATAACAAACTTATACTTGGGTCAGAGGGTCAACTGCCATCCTCAATTGGGAGGGAAAAAAAAAAAAAAACCTTTTAGCTGAGCACCTCCATGCATATACATCCATTATTTATGCAATACTATATTTATAAAGTCTATGGTTCTCAAAAACACTAAAAGCCTATTGTGTAAAGTCATAATTAAAAGAAGGAAATAAATATTATATGTGGAAAGGAAATCTGTAAGCTACTGTCAAAGACTCAATGGGACTGGGGATGTGGCTCAAGTGGTAATGCGCCCACTTGGCATGCGCATGGCACTGGGTTCAATCCTCAGCACCATATAAAATAAAATAAAGATGTTGTGTCCGCTGAAAACTGAAAAATAAATATTAAAAAATTCTCTCTCTCTCTTTTCTCTCTCTCTCAATTTACAAATAAGATGAAGAAACTCAGGCTCACATGTGTCCTGCCCCAAATTTCATGGGTTGGAAATTTAATCCCCAAAGTCATGCGTTAATGATATTTGAGAGGTGGGACCTCTGGGAGGTAACTGGGTCATTTTTCATGGATCAATGGGCTACTCAGTAAGGGGCTATTATAAATGTAGCTCTCTCTGGGTAACTTCCTGTCCAATCAAGTGATCCCCTGTGTTACCTTGGGATTCTATGAAGAATTTCCATCAGCAAAAAGGCTCTAACTAAATGTAGCCCTTGGACATGGAACTTCTCCTGAATTGTAAGAAATAAAATTCTTTAAAAAATTTCCCAGTCTGTAACAACATAAAACAGATTAAGAACCATCATATAGCTAAAAATGTAAAAAACAAGTTTTGCATAGATAATTCATTCATGTGGTTCAGAATTCAGAGGGTGTCCTTCAAGCATATGTGTGTCATAAGTGCATGTTCTATTAGTTTCCTCTACTTTTTACACACATGGCATCATTATACTCTACAGACTAAGCTCTACCCAGAAGCCAGAATCTCAATCCTACATGTAACCCCAAAGACAAATGTTTTTTCTATTTCATCCTTCACATGCTTACCTTTATTTCCTGCATCCTCTATAATTTGATATACTAGTTTTTCTTGGTTGTCTGATCCCTTCATTTTACTGTAGGGGAATAAAGTAGAATTAAAAAAGCAAAGGGGTATAACACATCTAATAATCTATATGACTACTTAAATGAATTAGCAGACAAAGTCATCACATTGACTTATTTACCAAAAAGAAGGGCTTACCTTAAAAAGAATGAGACAGAGCTGTATGTATCAACATGAAAAGATGTCCAAGATATGGTAAGTGAAAAAAACAAGTTACAAAACAGTATGGATAGTGAGATCCCAATTTTATTAAAAAAAAAAAAAAAGGAAAAAAGAAAAAGATTATATATAAATATATAATCACTATGAGTACTTATATACAGTTAGAAGAAAAGATATATACCAAATTATTAAGAGTGGTTATTCTGGGAAATGGAAAGTATGATAGGAAGTAGGGATGATATGCAGGACAGRATTGTATTAGCTTTTTTATTTTCCTGACACACATAGTATTTTTGCAATATTTACTTTCTTAAAATTAAAAAAAAAAAAAGTTGCTTACCCAGCATTCTGAGAGTCCTTTATTCTGTACAAAAGGCCTGTATTGCTCCTTAAGAGATCCAACTGACCCTAATGATAGTTTTTTAATAGAAAGTAGGAGTCAATTATTTTAGAGACATACACATATATTTCTACATAWAATACAGTGACAGATGTTAATGCAGTCTTTTTTTTATGAATTCCAAATTTTATTTATTTTTTATTTTATTGGTTCTTTTTAGATATAATAAAACAGTAGAGTGTATTTTGACATATTATACATACATGGAGTATAACTTAGTAGGATCCCATTCGTATTTTAATGCATTCTTTAATGTTTTTGTTTATTATAGAGTAAAATATTCTATCTTCCCCATTTAATTTTTAGTTTCTCATTTGAGACTTAAGTTTTTTTTTTTTTTTTTTTTTGGTACTGGGGATTGAACCCAGGGTGCTTTACMACTGAGCAACACTCCCAGCCCTTTTTATTGCTTATTTTGAGACAGGGTTTTGCTAGGTTGCTGAGGCTGGCCTCAAACCTGCAATCCTTCTGCCTTATCCTCTCCAGTTGCTATGATTAAAGGTGTGTACCACCACACCAAGTGAGACTTAGGTTTTGACAAAAGGCCACCTATAAGTATGCTAGGCAATCTCTCTACCACTAAGCTACATTGCTAACCCCAATGTATTTTTCAAATAGATTCATCTCAAAATATTTCAAAATATCAACACTATTTTCTGTATGAAGAATATTTTAAAAACAGCTTTAGAACAATAAATTAAATTCCATATTCAAATCCAAATAAATCCAAATTATAGCATACATAAAAATGAAATATAATTTGTATAAAAAGTTCTGATAAGGTTAAACATGCATCAATATCCTACGGTACAATGACAAAATAAATTATAAATTATAAAGTTAACAGTGACATTTACTGCTATGCATGATTTTTATTGTGTTATATGAAAGCTGGGTAGGAAGGTCAACCAATGAATGAAAGATCTGTAGTTGTATTATTTCTATATAATGAAGCAAAAATAAAGTATGCTGTCATTCTTCTGAATTTCCATGGGTTTAACTTTAGGAGAACCCAGATGATTACACTATTGAGTTTCTGGCAGTTCTGGGAAACCATGGCTGAGGGGGTCCCATTCCTGAGTTGTTAAGACTGGAAAGACTAACTTGAACTTGAAAACTGACTTACATACTGGATGAACTTCACACACCTTCCCTCCCTCCCCCAATCCCAATAAGTGGCAAAGCAGGACCACAAAGTTATTTGGAGGCTCCATTCAGTTGTCTACTCAACCTATAAACATTTACTGAACATCCACACTGTGCTAGATGTTATGATAACTATTTGGGGGGATAAATTCTTTGTGTGTATGTTTTTCTGGGGACTAAACCTAGGGCCCTTAGGCATGCTAGACAAGGCATCTACCATTGAGACACACACCCTATGCAACAAACAGAAATTCGAAAAGGGAAACACAACTAACATCAAAACTATCTAGCTGGCATGAAGAAAGAGGTAAGAAGTCTCAGGAGGCTGAGGCAGAAGGTTTACAAGTTCAAGGCCAGTATGGGTACTTGATGAGACCCTGTCTCAAAATAAAAAATAAAAAGGGCTGAGGATATATAGCTCAGTGGTAGAATGTTTGCCTAGCATGTATAAGAAAGTGCTTCCCAGCACTGCAAAAGAAAGACAGTGAAGGGAAAGGAGGAAGGAAAGAAGGAAGAGTTAAAAGTGGCAGTCTCTCAAAGAAAAGGCTATGGCCTAATRTAGAGATGTGGGTGACTTCCTAGACAATGGCAGATCTGAGTCCTAAAGGGTAACAAGAAGATAGTGTGTGAAGAAAGCAAGGAGGACAGCATGAGTCAAGGTTGTGAGGCATGAAACAGTTTGATGTGGCAGCAAATCAAAAACAATCTGTTTCCTCTGACAACTAACTTTGAGGCAATGTGGTAGAGGAGATAAGCCTGATGAAGAAGACAGGAGTTCAGTGTTGTCAAGCTCAGGAATTTGGACTTGAATCTCTAGTGTTGAGGCAGGAGAGTAAATGGGTCAGACTTACATTTAAGGCAGATCAGACTGGCTGCTCTCAGGCAGGTGAAGTCAGGGAAGCCAGTTAAGATGCTACTGCAAAAGCCCAGGTAAAATCCAAGAGCCTGAACACAGGTAGGAGTAATAGGAATGAAGATGTGGTTCAAGTTTGAGCACTGATTAAGAGCTAAGATCAACAATATTTAGTGATTATTAATAATCATGTGTTTGCTCAAAATACTTCAATAGCTCTACCACTGCCTACAGCCTATAACCAATAGGACTGGCAGTAGGCAGCAGATGCAGAGGTGGTAAGAGAGGGAGGTACTGAGAAAGATCTTCAGAAAGAAAGAATGCAGAGGGAGGTCAGATGACAAAAAAGAATATAATCTACTGCCATAAATTCCCAGAAACCCTTTCACAATTCTCCCTGGAACTGTAAATTTTTACCATAGTAAAATGATGAGAGATTACAATACCCCTTTTATCTTTGGGCTAAAACAGGTCAGCAATCTGGTCCACTGCTTGTTTGTTTGTTTTTTTTAATAAATAAAGTTTTATTGCAACATGGTCACAGTTGTTTATGTTATTGTCCATCGCCTGCTTCTTCTTAAAATGACAGAGATGAGTAATTGTAACAAAAACCATTTGATTTACAAATCCTTAAAGATATACTATTTAGCACTTTTTAGAAAAAGCTTGCCAATCTCTGAGCTGGAAGGCTGAATGAAATGGTTTAACAAAACCTGATCTCAAATCTCCATATCCAGAGCCCTTACAAATCTCACAAAGCTGGAAGATTTAAAAAAGCATATCAATCATGAGGCCTAGTGCAGAACTTTTAATTAGCTGCTAGTAAAATCAAACTGAAACTCTTCTTAGGAAATGGGAGTTTTGATGACAGAAATTTGGACCATGCAGTACCACAAACTGGGTATTTTTGGAAAGTTGGAGGAGAATGGTATCACTGCCTTCCATTCTTAAGGAGGACAGAATAGGTAAGAGCAGGCCTAGGGCTTCAGGCAATGACTCTGGGGCAGAGGCTGCCCTTAATTGGACTGCTGGCACTTAGCTGGTCTTACTTCTGCCTCCTGAAAAATTCAGAGTGACACTGTGGAGAGTGAAACTCTAAATGAATAGACTCTGGGATGATTCACAGGAAAATCAAAGGGGAGATATTTCATAGGAAATGGTCCAAAACTGGCAGCAGGAAGTAAACAGGCATTGAGAACAGACTATGCCTATGTGCCCTTAACATACCAACTAAGTTAATAAACACAACAGTTTAAAAAAATACATGTAGGGGCTGGGGTCATGGCTCAGTGGTAGAGTGCTTGCCTAGCATGTGTGAGGCACTAGGTTAGATTCTCAGCACTACATATAAATAAATGAATAAAATAAAGATCCATCAACATCTAAAAAAATATTTTAAAGAATACATTTATTTTGTTCATCTTGTAAAATGGTACGTAATTATTTCTTCTCTCAATTCAGCCAGCCTGAGCTGTTTCCTGACTTGGAGTCTTATTAGTTATATCTTAATCCTAGCACACTTTCTTTCTTTTTTTTTTATTTTTTAATATATATATATATATATATATTTTATATTTTAATATATATATTTATTTATTTTAGTTATCATCTTTGTTTGTAGGTGGTGCTGATGATCGAACCTGGGCCGCATGCATGCCAGGCAAGTGCGCTACCCCTTAAACCACATCCCCAGCCCCCTAGCACACTTGTCTGTTTTTTTTTTTGTTGTTGTTGTTGTTTTTTGAGAGAAAGAGAGAATTTTTTAACATTTTTTTTTTTTTTTTAGTTTTTGGTAAACATCTTTATTTTATTTTTATGTGGTGCTGAGGATCAAACCCAGCGCCCCACGCATGCCAGGCAAGCACGCTACCGGTTGAGCCACATCCCCAGCCCCACCCTTTCTGGTTTTATGTCCAGTGTACTAGTTGAGGTTATTCAGAGAAAAAGAACTAATAGGAGATATACATAGTTATATTTCACTAGAAAGAAATTTATTATAAGGTATCAGTTTGTGTGATTATAGAGACTGAGAAGTCCTATGCTCTGCCTTCTGTAAGCTGAACACCCAACAAAGTCAGTGGTATAGATCAATGTCTAAGAACCAGAGAGACAATGGTATAGATCCCCATCCAAATCTGAAGACCTAAGTACCAAAAGTGCTGAGGGAAGGAGAAAACTGATGTCCTAGTTCAAWTAGTCAGGCAAGTAAATTCAACCTTCTTCCACTTTTTTTCTTCTATTCAGGCCCTCAAAGACTGGATGCTGCCCATCCACATTGGGGAGGACCATGTGCTTTCCTCAGTTAACCAATTCAAATGCTAATCTCTTCTAGAACACCCCCAGAAATAATGTATAGCTAAGATAGCCTGGAATTCCATCTCCCAGTCAAGTGTAAACATAATAGAAGGCAATAACAATCATAATATATAAATAATTATGTTAGCTAGTTGGATTCTCCTTACCATGGACAACAGTCTATTGATGGCCACTGCCCGTTGTTGGGCTTCTATATGAGGCATTTCATTCTGAATTACTTGGTCTGTGATTCCATGAGGAAATTGATGGCATAGTTCTATAATCCTAGAAACAAAGGTATTAATGATATCATTTATATTTAGCTGCTTCAAGAGGCAGTGGTAGAGAAGTACAAGCAGAATAGTTTGAAATTGTGCCTTTCCTTTATTCACATTTGGCTGATACTCTGAGTTTGTATGATGATTTTGAACCAAAGCATATTAAAAATTGAGGAAGCTGAGCTGGGCCTGGGGCTGGGGCTCAGCAGTAGCACACTTGCCTGTCATGTGTGAGGCACTAGGTTTGATTTTCAGCACCATAAAGAATCAAATTTAGTTATCAATACCTTTATTTTATTTATAAATAAATAAAATAAAGGTCTATTGACAACTAAAAATATATTTAAAAAATGAGGAAGTTGCTTTTTACATTACTAGTGTTATTTAAGGGGAACACTTCTTTTCATCAGATATAAATTTTAAATTAGCACAAAAGTCTAACAAAAACAGAAACAATATTAAAGCTGAGATTTCAATGTTCTCAGCTGAAATAAGTATAACAAAATCAAGAGTAAATCTGTAAGCAAGAAACAAATGCAGACTTTTTGCAACTTCCGGAAAAGTTCCTGCTTTATTATTCCAAATAATTTTTCCCATGTAAAATAAATGTCCAATAGTTTCTGGTATGTGGGAAGATAATGTTTGTTAAAGTCACAATGAAGCCTCATGGAGAGAAGCTCTGCTATATAAATAGCACAAGTTGAGAAAAGGTTTACTCTCCAAACCTATTAGACTGGATGAAACAAGATCAGTAACAGCCACCTAGTGACATTACAGGAGGTCTCATTCCCACTGGAGGTCGAGGAGGCCCACCTTGGTAAGAGGATACCACTGGCAGGCAGTTCCTGCCCATACAGAAGCTTAGCACCAGGAAAGTAAACTGGCATGGCTTGCTTATGACCACCATACTGACCATGAAGTGGCATGTGGGGGGGGGGTCACATTCCTTGCTGCTGTGGGATGCCTGGCTGTGGTGGCATCATACCTTCAATTGGTCCAACTGGTGGATTACCAATAATGTGGACACTTCTTTTGGGAAGTGATAAGGAAGTGTTAAGATAATTCACCATAACTGGGGCATGTTTTTATAATTAGCCCTAACAAATAAGTCCAAATCTTGTTTTAGGATTAATAAATGCGTTGTTCATAACAATTTAAGAAAGTCAAGGTCTCTTAAAACCATGCGATAATGTAGAATTCACTGTTATCGAGTATATAACATTGGAAAAAGCTTTAGATGCCCTAAAATCCTGAGTTCAATACTTCTTCTAAACTTTTCGGGTTAATGTTGCTTTGTAATCGCAAACTGAACCCTAACTTGGCCCAAACGTTCTATTGTAGAAGTTCCCTTAAGTGATGGAGCAATCCTGAATTAGAATATGTATCCACAAGTACTGCGGGGGGGAAAGGCAGGTCTATTTTCAGAGCACTGATTTCCTTAACATAGGTAGTGCACCAAACAGCATCCGGGCAAAGTCAGTTATACCCATCATTGCAAGCTGTCAATCCCGTCTGGAACTTCTGAAGTCCTGTTCTCCTGGGGAAGGGTATTCAGAATGCCGCACTTTACTACCCCGCGTGCTCACTCAACCAGCTCCGTCCACTCCCAAGGAGTCCTGGAGAATGGATCCGGTTGCCTAAATGACCGCCCCTCTGCGGGAGGAAAGGGGGATCTGGAACCGGGAACCAAGCCYCTCTGGCTTACCTGTTTTCTATTTCGACCGGATCCGCGTCGGGCGGCTGCACCTTCACCTTCACCTCAGCCATTAGGGCTCAGTTCCTGAACCCTGGAGAAAGAGACACACCGAGTCACTGGATTACTAATCACAGAACACCGGTAGCCGCGGAAGACAGCATAGGCCCGAGAGCGAGGGGCCTTCTTCCTCTTGTCGCAGCCGGTCCTTGCTAGTCTGTCGGCTTGAGGCGGCCAAGCCGCGCCTGCTCCGCACCACTCGCCGGCGCCGACATAGCGTCTTGTGCACAATTTCAATACCTGTCGAACAAAAGAACCTGGTTCTCTTATTTCGAGTAGCAACGTCACCTCTTAGCACTTTCCAATTTCTCGGAAGGCATATTCTTGGATATCTACGGTAAAGCCTTCGGAATAGAGATCCAGGCTGGTACCAATCTCTCCGCCCAGTGACAGGGGCGGGGCTGGTTGCTAGGAGGCCGATTTTTCCGCCAATCATTTTCCTAGTTCCCAGTGGGCGGAGCGCGCTCACCGCGTCTGTGGTAACCCGGGCTGCGGCAAAGGAGCCTGCAAGAGGCGGTGAGAGACAGGCAACCGGGTTGGGGGAGGCTGAAGTGCCTTGGGGGTCCTGATCTCGGTCCTCGTGACTGCTGGAGGAGGAGGAGGGCCTCCTTTACTCCAACTAAAGGACGCAGGCGTTCCTGACTGCCCCTGATGGACCAGGGCGAGGACCCTATAGGGTCCTATAAGCGAGAAGATGGTGCAGGTGGAGGTAGTTGGGAGGTGGTGGTGGGGTGCTGTTGACCGCCCTCTGCGGTTTGAATCTAGTGGATCAGACATTTTTCTCGGTCTCCTTCGCTTGAGGCCCACTGGCCTCCCAAGGGCAGCTACTAGTTCCACTCGCGAATTATTCTATCCATCAATTATTTATTTATGTCTTTTCAAGTATTTTTATTTTAAATGCTTCTCACTTGAATGGAAATGTGCGCAAGGGCACGTTCTCCCGCACTCCCGTGTTCCGTGTTCAGTCACACTTCTGTCAGGCCCAGTGCTGCGCTAAGAGTATCCGCAGTTTAGATTTTTTTTTTTTTTTTTTTTTGTACTGGGGATTGAACTCAAGGGCATATAACCACTGAGCCACATCCCCAGCCTTTTTTTTTTTTTTTTTTGTATTTTATTTAGAGACAAGTTCTCGTTAAGATGCCTAGTGTCTCCGTAGGTTTCTGAGGCTGGCTTTGAACTTGTGATCCTCCTGCTCCCACAGTTTATATTCTTGGCTCTCAATCTGGAACTATCCAACAAGGAAGGTTTTAAGTTCACTCCTTAAGTTTAGTTATCCCACTAATACAATCTGACGAGACTGAAAATGCAAAGATGTTCAGAGCAACTGTGTGTAAGAGTTGCCACAATCAAAACTAAAGACACTAGATATAGTCTAATGCCCAAACATAAATTGATGCATAAGTGTATGGAAAATTGTAAATTTAAAAATGAGGATGCAAAAATTAGACTTTAAAAGTTGAGTGAATATGGAGGTTATAATTAGCACTTTCCAACTTCTTGGAAGGCATATTCTTGGAAGGCCTCTGTACTGGTAATTAATAATTTATAAGTACAGCAGATTAAAGTGGGAGACTTGTGTTTGTTGATCACTGTTTATATCTGTACTAACTTCCTTTCTCTTCAGAAGTGATGCTTTGCAGTCCTTCTAAAGTGTTTATGTAGCTATCAAATTTAAGAACCACTGTGATGGTTCCTGGACCATGGACCTGAAGCTTTCTCAGAAGAGTTGGCTCTAAATGAACACTTTGTGCTACCTACACAGTTCCTTCTGGTCAGCCTCTGTGATGACTTGCTTGAGGTCAAGGGTGATGGCCCAATAATTGAAGGATAGAAAGGGTTATAATAATCCAGATGGAATTGAGTTCAGAGCATTAGTGATGGTCTCTGTTCTGTTTTAGCCATTTAATTTGTCCATTTAAAATGCTCCATTACCCCATCTCATTCATTCATGCTCTTTCTCAACAGCAAAAATAATGTAAATTATTTCAATTTAAATGGGATGATATTTGTAAGTGACATACTCATAATATTCTCTTTAGGTTACACTAATTTTGCCATATTTAAGTAACGTGCTGCTCTTCAGTTCTTTATTCAGATATARGTGCATAATATAATTTATTTTTATCCTTTTTTTTATATAAGGAGAGAATATGACTGCTGGTTCGGTGTGTGTCCCTCAGATCATACCACTTCGAGTGCCTCAACCTGGAAAAGCAAATCATGAAATTGATAACAATACTTTTTTGGAAATGAAATCAGGTAGGAATCACATGTGTTGGAAATTGTTTAAAATAACATTGTCATACTCTTTGTGTTCATGTGGTTGCTGATTTATCTCTTTATATGCTTTCTATACTCAGGATGTTGGGAAGTTTGTAAAACTTTCACAATTCCAAACAATGTTGTACTTTGGTTATTTAAAACATGGTATATATTTAGATTAAAATGGTTAGCTTTGACTAAGCTCTCATTTATATAGGTACACAGTTCCAATTGATTCACCTTAGTTGAATTTAATTTTAATTAAATTAAAAAATTTTTTTTTTTAAAGAGAGAGTGAGAGAGGAGAGAAAGAGAGAGAGAATTTTAATATTTATTTTTTAGTTCTCGGCGGACACAACATCTTTGTTGGTATGTGGTGCTGAGGATCGAACCCGGGCCACACGCAGGCCAGGCGAGCGCGCTACCGCTTGAGCCACATCCCCAGCCCCTAAATTAAAAAATTTAAAAAATTTAAATTTAATTTAATTTTCCCAGGAAGCTTGTTATTTTGCTTGGATAATAAATTTAACTTACTATGGGCTGGGGTTGTGGCTCAGTGGTAGAGTGCTTGCCTAGCATGCATGAAGAACTGGGTTCGAACCTCAGCACCACATAAAAACAAAATAATGTGTCCACCTAAAACTAAAGATACATAAATAAATAAATATTAAATAAATAAATTTAACTTACTAATACAGACTTTCAAATGTCTCAGTTTAGAAATGGAATCCCAGCTTTGACAACATCTGATGACCTAGGGCACTTTACATAGCCTTTCTGAGTCTCAATTTCCTTATAGTAAGATAAAGTTAGTCATATCTGCCACTTGGAGCCATTGTAAGGACTGAGTGACTTGGTATATATGTGAGGTGAACAGGATCTAGCATGTAATAAAATACGTTTTAACTATTATAAAAGAGAGAATATATCTCCTGGTAATATTTATTCTTCAAACTCTTAAATGTATCTATATACATACACACACATGTACATTTAATGAACATGAGAAATGAAAGCTTTATAGATCCAAAATTTGAAGAAATATTTGTCTAAAAAAGATTTTGAAACTCCAATTGTATATTTTAATAAATGTATACAAACTACCTTCATTTCTAGTATGTCTCCTATGCTTCCTAGACTAAGAATTCCAACTAAGAATATGGTTACATTATACTATGTCCTCCTTTATCTTAAAAGCTAATTTGATTTTTAAAAATAAGGGACCAAAATTAAAATGTAAATATTTGTGCTCATAGTTCTTATTTTGATACAAGTTTTTGTTTTGATACAAGGTCTCACAAAGTTGCTGAACTGTCCTCAAACTTGTGATCCTATTGCTTCAGCCTCCCAAATACCTGGGATTACAGGTATATGGCACTGTGCCTGGAAAGATACTATTTTTTCAATCTCAGAAATTAACAAAATTAAAAGAAAAATAGGTAACATACTTTATCGGGGAGATTGTGGTTAAATAGGCATTTTCATGCATGGCGGGTGGCAGTGTACGTTGCTTAATCACCCAGGGAGTGCAGTTTGAATATATTAATCAAAAGTACAAATGCAAAGTCAGGCTCAGAGAGGTATGTGCCTAGAGTCCCAGCTACTCAGGGAACTGTAGCAGGAGACTTTCAAGTTCAAGGACAGCCTGGGCAACATAGCTAGACACTATCCTAAAGATGTTTACAAATGTACATACCTTTTGATCTATTAGTACTATTTCTACGTATTTGTTTTACAGATGTACTTACAAAAAGAATTCTTTATAGGATTGTTCATTACAATGCTTATGTTTGCAAAAGCAAACAATCTAAGTGTCCATCTTTAGAGAGTTAAATTGTTGTTCGCCTGTATGAGGAGATTGATTGCAGACATAACAAAAAAAAGAGAATGTTCTTTATGTGTCAAAATAGACATGTTAATAATTGAAAAAAGAAAAGAAATGTGTGGAACAGGATATAGTATGCCACCATGAGTGTTAAAAGGGAGGGGAAAATAAGACTATATACCTATATGTACCAATAAAGTTTTTTTTTTTTTTTTTTTTTTGGTACTTGGGATTGAACTCAAGGGCACTCAAACCCTAAACATCCCCAGGACTATTTTATATTTTATTTAGAGACACGGTCTCACTGAGTTGTTTAGCACCTTGCTGTTGCTGAGTCTGGCTGTGAACTGATGATCCTCCTGTCTCAGCCTCCTGAGATGTTGGGATTACAGGTGTGTACCACCACACCCAGCCCAATAAAAGTTTTCTGAAGGACACTCAGTATACCATTGGTTGTCTTTGGACAGCCAATGTGAGATCTAAGAGGGAGAATTTCATTGTATAGCATTTTTAAACTTTTGAATTTTTAATCATGAATTTATTGCATTTAATTTTTAAAAAATATTTATTTTTAAAAAAAAAAATATTTATTTTTTAGTTTTTTAGGTGGACACAATATCTTTATTTTATTTTATGTAGTGATGAGGATCGAACCCAGCCTGGCACATGCCAGGCGAGCGAGTTACCGCTTGAGCCACATCCCCAGCCTGCATTTAATTTTTTTCAGGCATTACAAGAATCATTTACCAAGTCCAAAAAAAATATAATAAGTCATTTCTTAAGAAATGCTCAAGGCTCTGCCATGCCCAGTGGCACACACTTGTAATCCCAGCAGTTTGGGAGGCTGACAGAGGAGGATCACAAGTTCAAAGCCAGCCTCAGCAGTGGCAAGGCACTAAACAACTCAGTGAGACCCTGTCTCTAAATAAAATACAAAATAGTGCTGATGTGACCCAGTGGTCAAGTGCCCCTGAGTTCAATGCCAGGTATCATACTCACCACCACCAAAAAAAAAAAAAAAAAGAAAGAAAAGAAATGCTCAAGGCTGGGGGTATACCTTAGTAGTAGAACACTTACCTAGCATGTGCAAGGCCCTGGGTTTAATCCCCAACACCACAAAACAAAATGAATGAAGAAGTGCTCAAAAAAAAAAAAAAATTAAAAATTAGTTTCTGTTTTCTATGTGGATGGTGTTATCTTAAAAACTGACCTCTATTCTATTTGTATCAATGCCCTGTTAGAGACACAAAAGAGCATAATGGTTCAAGAGCATAGGTCATGGTTTCAACTGACCAGAAGTCATACCACAATGCATCTATTATTTAGCAAATTTGTTAATCTCTTAGGGACTCAGTTATCTCATCTAGAAAATGGGCATAAAATAGGGACTCATAGAGTTATGCAGATGAAGTCAGAAGTGAGCTCATTTGGGCTGGGATTGTGGCTCAGCAGTAGAGCCCTCACCTAGCACGTGCAAGGCCCTGGGTTYAGTCCTCAGCACCACATAAAAATAAATAAGTAAAATAAAGATATTGTGTCCAACTACAACTAAAAAATAAATATTTTATTTTTAAAAAAGAAGTGAGCTCATTCATGTAAAGCACTGTGCTAACACAGAAAAAGAATTATTGTTAGTTATTTTCATATATATATATTCAAATTCATGTGTGAATTTTCATATGTTTATATGTATGTGTAGAAACTCCTCAAATAATTGACATTTAAGCATTATTCAGGGGTAGCCTCTTTAGTGTTAGTTTATAGTTATCCTGTTTTGAATTTTTCAGATACCCCAGATGTCAACATATATTATACCCTGGATGGCAGCAAACCTGAATTTCTGAAGAGAATTGGTTATGGAGAAAATAATACGTTTAAGTATACAAAACCTATTACTCTGCCTGATGGAAAAATACAAGTTAAAGCTATTGCAGTCTCTAAGTAAGTTAAGAAAGTGGTGATCAGACTGATTTATAATATAATGACATTATGTTCTGATTTTACTTATTTATTCCTTTGAGAATTAGTGTTGCATTAGAAAGACACAAAAAACTTAATTGTAGCATATACAAGTAACTCATTGTTTTATTTGCATTTTACTGAGGTATGCTGTAAAGTGCACAAATCATAAGTGCATTCAATGAAGTGAAATCAATAAGCTCAATGAAGTATCATTGTGTATTAACATTGCTTTTATTTCAAATTCCACTTTGGATCTTCAGGAAGAAAGAGCCTGCCTAGGGCTGGGAACCTCCTCTAAAGAGCTTCTCCTGGCTCTGAGGAAAGCATTGCATTTACTGGATGGTTCTTATTCCTCAGGATGCAGCCTACAACAGCACCATGATTCACTCTTTCATTTTGTATTGATTTAATTGATCTTTTTTTTTTTTTTTTGGTGATGCTGAGGATTGAACTCAGGGCCTTGTGCAAGTAAGGCAAGCACTGTACCAACTGAGTTATATCCTCAGCCCCTGAGCTATATCCTCAGCCCCGATTTAATTGATCTTTGAAGCTGTTGTCTTTTCACAAAAGTGGAGGGCATTAGCCAYTTTATTCTTCCTTTCCCACTTGGTGCCTTTTAACCATTTTGAAACCTTTTTGAAAACACTATTAATTTGGAAACGTTCACCATATGTTGTAGGGGAAAAGCCTCAATTGCTTAGCAAGTCTGTGTGATTGTGATGGAAGAATCATTTTGTTCAGCAAGACCGGTTTGACCGGTTTGGCCACATTTCGGGAATCTATTTAAGCGCCAAACCAAATACCTGTTGGCCCCAGACTCCCCCTGCTGGCTGAACTACTGCATGACCCCTTTTTTTAAAAAAATATTTTTAGCTGTAGATGGACACAATATCTTTTTTTTTTTTTTTTTAAATGTGATGCTGAGAATTGAGCCTAGTGCCTCACACATGCTAGGCAAGCACTATACCACTGAGCCACAACCCCAGCCCACTACATGACTTTTTGAAAAGAGGAGCAACTTTACCAAAGATGATTGTCTTGGTATCTGAAAAAAAAAAAAAAAATTTAAAGATAAAATGAAGCTGGGCACAGTGGTGTATGCCTGTTAGTCCCAGTGGCTCAGGAGGCTGAGGCCTGAGGAATGTGAGTTAAAAGCTAGCCTCAGCAAAAGAGAGGTACTAAGCAAATCAGTGAGACCTGTCTCTAAATAAAATACAAAATAGGGCTGGGGATCTAGCTCAGTGGTAGAGTGCCCTGAGTTCAATCCCCAGTACCCCCTCAAAAAAAAGAGTGAGGCAAAATAACCCCTTAAATGCATCATTGTAATTTACTAAATACTGGAATTTTGTTTTTTCCCACTTACCAAGGCACTTCTTTTTAAAATTTTTTAAAATTTGTTTTAATTAGTTATTTATGGCAGTAGAATGCATTTATGCACTTTGATATATCATACATAGATGGGATATAATTTCTCATTTTTCTGAGTGTACATGTTGCAGAATCATATTGGTCATGTAGTTACATATATACATACATTAATAATGTATGTTTCATTCTACCATCTTTCCTATCCCCACATCCCCTCCGCTCTCCTCTAAGCCACTTCTATCAAAACAAATCATCTCAATTATCATTAAAAATTAGAAACAGTAGAAAGTATTTTGACATTCTCACCGAACTTTCTCTGTGCCCACTGAGTGCTTTAGTAACACCAAAGTATTTCAGATGTGTTCAGTTTCCCAGGCTGGCCTCATGCTTGTGGTCCTCCTGCCTTAGCCTCCCAAGTCTCTGGGATTACAGGTGTGCAACATTGTTCCTAGATAAAATAGTTTTTTATGGAAATTATACTGCTTTATTTAAGTCAGTTTCTAGGTACTTAAGGTAATTTCTTAGTAAGGAGTCAAAGGACTTTAAATGAGAGTGCTAACACTTGAAGGTCATTAACATATTAAAAGGAAAAATTGTCATGAAATTTCAAATGACAGAGGAAAATGTTTATTATGTAAAGAGTGGAAAAAAATAAGGTACAAGTTTACACTTATGACTTTAACTGCACTTTAAAATGCATAGAGAAAAGACTGGAAGAAAACATGCCAAACCTTAGCAGTCACTGCCTTTGATGACAAAATTATGTATGTTTGCTTTTTATTCTTGATAACTTTAACAGCTTACAAAACTTAACTTTTGTGATAATAAATAAAGGGATAAATAATAAATAAAGGATATCTGAAATTACATAACCAKTTCTTCTCAACTTTGCTGAATCAGCTAGTCATTATTGCATAGCAAACCATTCTAAAACTTAATGTTTCAAAAGAACAATTGCATTTGTTAATTATTCTGTGGGTCAGTATTTTGAATTTTTTTCAGTTTGTTTGTTTTGTTTTGCTACTGGCAATTTACCCTAGGGGCACCTTACCACTGAGCCCCATCCCCAACCCTTTTTGTTTTTTATTTTGAGACAGTCTAACTAAGTTGCTCAGGGTCTGCCTAAATTGCAGAAGCTAGCCTTGAACTTGTGATCCCCCTGTCTTAGCCTCTCAAGCTGCCAGGATTATAAGTGTGTGCCACTGCACAGTATTTTGATGTGTATTCAGGAGGTGGTTCTTCTGATGATCTTGCCTGAGATCAGTTACATAGCTGTCTTTTTTTGTTTGTTTGTTTTTGGCTCATTTTGAATTGGATGGTCTCAGAAAGCTTAACTTACATGTCATTTTTGGTGCTGGCTATAGGCTGGAGCCATGTCTCCTGCAAGATATCTTTATGTTTTTACAAGGTGCCCCAGTTCTAAAATGCAATAAGAGAAAGGACAAGTCCTGCAGATTTTTTTTAGATTCTGCTTGTGTCATATTTACTTGGCCAAAGTAAATCACATGGCCACACCCARAGTCAATGTGGTAGGAGATTTTACAAGGGTATGGATGCAGAGAGGTATGGTGGTGCCTCAGAACTCATTATTTTTTTCCACGTTTTTTTATTGGTGCATGATAGTTGTACATAATGATGGGATTTGTTGATACATATTCATACATACATATATAAACAATATAATTTGACCAGTATCATGCCCCAGCACTTCCCCTCTTCCTTCCCACCTCCCATCTTCTGATCCCTTTCCTCTACTAATGTCCCTTTGATTTTCATGAGTCCTGCATACTTTTTTTTCCCCTTTTCCCTCTCTAGCTTCCACATAGGAAAGAAAACATGTGACCCTTGATCTTCTGAGTTTGATTTATTTTGCTTAAAATAATGATCTCTATTTCCATCCATTTCCTGCAAATAACATAATTTTATTTTCCTTTATGTGAATAAAACTCCATTGTGTGTATATACCTCATTTTCTTTATTCATTCATCTGTTGATGGACGGACACCTAGGCTGGTTCCATAGTTTGGCTGTTGTGAATTGTGCTGCTGTAAACATGAGCATGTAGTTTCTTGACTCTAATTTTTTAGGATAAATACCWAGGAGAGGTATGGCTGGGTCATATGATGGTTTCATGCCTAATCTTTTGAGGAATATCCATACTGATTTYCATAGTGGTTGTACTAATTTACAGTCTTACCAACAATGTAAAAGTGTTCTTTTTCCTCTACATCCTCTCCAGCATTTATTATTATTTGTATTCTGATGACTGCCATTCTGACTTGTGTGAGATGAAATGTCAGTGTTATTTTGATTTGCATTTTCCTAATTGCTAATGATGTTGAACATTTTAAATATATTTTTGCCATTTGTATTTCTTCTTTTGAGATGTGTCTGTTTAATTCATTTGCCCATTTATTAACTGGGTTACTTGATGTTTGGATGTAAAGTTTTTGAGTTATTTATATATTCTAGATAGTAATCTTCTGTCAGAAAAGTAGCTAGCAAAGATTTTCTTCCATTTTGTAGTTTCTCTCTTCACATTATATAATTGTTTGCTGTGCAGAAAGCTTTTTAATTTGGTGCCATTCTATTTGTTAACTCTTGGCATAATTTCCTGAGCTTTAGGAGGACCAATTATTTTACCAGTCTACCACAGGTGCAAATTAGAATTACCCAAGGAGCTTTGCAGAATCCTGATGCCCAGGTCACACCCAGACCAGTTAAATAACAGACTCTTGGGGATAGGACCCAGGCATCAATATTTTTAAATACTGATTATTCAAATATACAGGTGATTCCARTATGCAGCCAATATTGACCACAATGGACATAAAGCAATGGAAAATATGTTTTTGTTTATAGGTATTTGATAAACACAATGTTTTGTAAATATATTTTTATTGAAGTATGAAATTCTAGGATGAAAAGAAAGGAATAGGGCATCATTGCAGGTGGATATATGTGTGTGTGTGTGAATTTTGCATCCAAGAATGGTTAGAGAAAAGAACATATGTGGACAGGAGGGACCAGGAACTTGGGAACATCTCAAGAAGGGGAAGTGACCTATATTGATGATCCAGTCCAGAGTCTGTACACTCTCTGACATTTGTCTTGCTTCTTTAAAAGTCTCCTTTGTGGTCAGCAATGTCCCATCTTGGTATGATATCATTTGGTAGTGTGTTGGCAATGAACTTGCAGGGTTCTGCCTTCTCCCTCACTAACCTCATATAGGGGTCACAATCAATTAAGCTCAGTAGAGATTAAAAACTACGTTGAACTGAAGATATGGAATTGGACTCAGAGTCCTCTGAGGATAATTGTTTTCTTCAGTAGAACTATGAGGGACTCTCCAGTTTTGCAACAATGGTTGAGAAAAAAGATTTTCAGTGTATTGCAGCTCATCTCATAGACCTCCATTTGTAGCCCCTTGGCACCCATAATATGCCCTAAAATGTTACTTCTCTACCTGGAGGTCATAATTCAAGCTCATTGTGTAGAGGCAAATTCCAAGAGATAGTACAATATGTTCTGTTTGTGTGAAGAAGTAGATCCAGATGTTATCTACATAGGCAGCTACAAAGGCAAGAAGAAAACTACTTTGAGAAATGTTGTTTAATGATGTGTAAAGAGGACAAAGCTTAGAGACCCTCAGATTTGGATTTTTAATCCTAGTTCTATCACTTACTCTGTGTGCCCTTGATTAAATTGTGTGGACTTCTGACTCATTTTTCTCGTTTGTTAAATGAAGTTAATAGAATTTGACAGCTGTTGTGAGGATTAGAATTAACACACTTAATACAACACTTGGGTTCACACTTGCAGTAGCAGTTGCTGTTGTTTGTTATTTTGATTCTTAGCAAAGAGCTAAAAGATTGATATTTGCTATTGTGTGAACCAACTCAAAAGACATACCTCATATTTGAAATGTTTATGCCTGGGTAAACAAATGGTTTTTACTCAACCCTTTTAAGTTCCTACACTAGAGGTTTTCAACTGGGCATAATTTTCCCCCCACAGGACATTTGATAATGTCTGGAAACATTTTAGTTATCATATGTAGGGTGATAATGTGCTTGTAGTGGCAGAGGCCAGGGACGCTGCTAATCATTGTACAAGGCACAGGACAAAACCCTTGAAGAAGAATTATCTAACCCCAAATTTCAGTAGTTTTCAGTGGGTTGAGAAAATATGACCTAGATCAAGTTGTGGAATATCCATAGATACAGCTTCATAACTCCCTTGCAGCCATTCAAGTACCTTGGTATTTTATTGTGAGTCTAGAGCTACACAAAAATAATTTTCTGTTTGGATGTACTTCATATTGATACTTCCAAAGATACATAGTTAAGGTCTCCAGAATCTAGCCCTTATCAAAAGTTTATATATTTTTCAAATGGGATTTGGGCTCTGAGTAGGATTTACAGTTCCAACTCCAGACCTAGTCCTTTTTGAGGATCATAATCAGGATGAAGTCCTTCTACTTAGCAGGCAACTTAAGCTGGACTTTGGGCTGTTTTTAGCTGGGATAGAGTCCATGGGTGAATGCATTATCTAGGTCCCCAAGGAAAGGGCCAGCTGTGGTAGGGGAGATAACCTGGGCCTTACACCAGTAGAATAAGTGCAAGATATCAGGCTTCCACTCTACGGGGTTGGAAGTGCCCATTAAGGGAGCTCTGTGATTGTTCAGAATCTGAATGATCCCTGATTGAAGATGTTTGTGATATCAGGGAAGTGTGCTAATGAGGAGGACAATTAGATTTTAAATGTCATACCTAGAGCCAAAGGTGACCTTGCAGATGACTTGGATCCTGAGGTGAATGAGTTAAGCATGTAGTTAATATAAATGATCATTTATATGTGCATTCACACATTTATGCATCTATAAATTTGGTTTTGATATTTTTAAGTGCTTTCCCAGTGTTTAGCTACCTGTGATTCACTCTAGCCAGTGAACTTGCAAGTATCCTTTGATTACAGAAAGCCAGGCATATTATTTCTTTACTATAGCCTCTCAGGTAGATTGTGGTTGTTTAGATTAATTATGTATATATAAAATAAACACATCACATAAATACACCAAGAATTGGTTTCTGGAAATATAAACACGAAGGGAAGCCAGGCACGATGAAGGCAGTCTGATCACCTGAGACTCCCATACTGTGAGAAAGTTCAAGCTATCTATATGGAAAAAGAGCSGGGATAGAAGAGAGAGGGAGAAGGAGAAGGGGAAAAGAGAAAGAAGTTATTTGAGGGAAGAACACATTTTGGAAATGCAGCCCAAATGAGCCTTCAGTTGACTCTACTTCTCCTGACACATGATGTCAATCACATGAAAGAGAGCAAATGAGATCTGCCCAGCAGAGACCAGTTAATCCACAGATTTGTGTTTTAAGGCACTACATTTGTGGGGTACTGTGTTAGCTTTCCATCAGTATGACAAAAATTTGAGAAAAATCAGCTTAAAGAAAGATTTATTCTGACTCATAGTTTCAAGGTTTCAGGCCATGGTCACTTGGCCCCACTGCTTTGGGCCTGTGGGAAGGCAGAACATCCCAGCAGGAAATGAGGGATGGAGCAAAGCTGCTTACCTCCCGGTGGCCAGGAAACAGAGAGGAGGGGCCAGGGTCCCATATCCCCTTCAAGAGCATGCCTCAAATGACCTAATTTCCTTCTAGTAGTCCCCAACACCTGAAGGTTCTACTGTCCTCCACAAGTACCATCAACTGGGACCAAGCCTTCAACATGTGAGCTTTTTGGGGATATTTAAGATTCTGACCACAGCAGGTGATTTGTTACACAGTTAAAGACTCCCAAACAGAATGAGATAAGGAAAGACTTGAAAATTAAGTTTTGATTTCTTCAATTTAAAATGAAATACATTTCAGACCGAGACTAAGGAACTTTAAACGGAGTCATTTTAATTGCTAGCTACCTTTTCTTTGAATCTTTGCATAACACACTCTTTTTTTATTTTCAGAGACTGCAGACAGAGTGGAATTGTAACTAAGGTATTTCAGGTAGATTATGAACCACCAAATACAGTTTCTTCTGAAGACAATGTTGAAAATATTCTCAAAGTTTCTTCAAAGGCAAGTAATGATATTATACATTCAGATTATTACTATATTCTTCGTCTGTCCTTCTCGGTGGGCACACCTTCCCTTTCATTATATCACCTCTGCTTATAATCAGGTCCTAATTTAAGTAAAGTCAGTATCAGCCATTGCGAAGTATCTTCACTGATTCCTCAACCTTTGGTCAATTTCTCCTCCACTTTAGAGATTAGAATTCCTACCCAGCAACACTGCCCATGCTCCACTGGCTTCAGTGGCTCTTCCTTACCTACTGAAAGAAAGCAGAAAATTTTAGCCTGCCATGTAAGTAATCAGTGTTCATTCTTGGCCAGGCTTTCTTGCCTTGACTGTAACTTTCCCCCTGTGTAAACTTCAGTTAAATTAAACTTATACACGGTGTTTTATCACTGCACCAAGTCATCTCCTTTTAAAATCACTTTGATCATGTGATTATTTGGTTCTTTGTCAGTCTTTGCCATGTACTGTAAGCTCCAAGGTGGCATAGAGTGTGGCTGCCATACTCAAAGCCTTGCTCAAGAGAAGGCAGGAGAGGGTGATGAGTATATATGTGGTAAATAGGTTCATCAGGCCAGGAGAAGCTCCCAGTGGGCATAGACTTCTGTTCTGTTGAAATTTTCATTCCCAAAGATTCATCTCTTTGGAGAAAATTCAAGCTATGTGAAGACATTTGAAATTTCAGTCCCTGCATTGTTGGCATAGATAATAATAGATCCAAGTAACAGGGCCAGAGGACAGACTAGTTCATGGTAAGGCAACTAATCAAAAAGTCTCAGTCGGAGTTAATACAGAAAGTTTTTGGTGGTATCCCTTAAGTGAACCTGAAGCCAGCAAAGAGGCTATAGCACCAAAGGGTAGGTACAGGCATGGGGTGGGGCTCTTAGTGTGTTCAGGGCAAAGGCAGCCAGCAGAGACTGAGCCCACATGTATCAGCAGGTGCTCGGTTTGTATCAGGTATAAAGAAAAAAAAATCTATGGAGAGAAAGTCAGAAATAAGAGTATTTAAGGCCCTGTGAACAGGTTGTGCACATAAGTCCTATCTTGGTCTGATCCCACCCTAGCTCTGCTCCGTGGATCTGCTGGTCCCCTTGTTATTACCCTCCCATGAATGTAACATCCTATCTTGATGTGCTGCTCCTTCTTCCTGGTTTGGCCACTTGACTTGAGACGTAGACATGCTACTAGCCAAAAGCTCAGATTCAAAGCTCTGTGTTTCCCCACAGTAAGGTGAAACAGAGATCACTTTGTAAAAACTACTGTAAACCATTTCAAGGAAGAAATGTATGCCATGACACTGTCTCTATCATGTAGCTTTTAATTTTCACATTCTCAATGGGTATCCAGTGATATGTAATCTCTTCATTCCTAGGAATTAAAAAATGGATTTGTTGGACCAAAATTAAAGAAGAAATATAAGAACACTGAAAATAAACCTAGTTGGAATGTTAACCTTAGAAAGTTTCCAGGTATGATGTGATAGCATGAAGATAAGGTTCACTATTTATTCTAAACCCACCAAATTTGTTCACTGCATGTTCACTGCATGTTCTCTTACTTGCAGAAGTGTTGGAGTGAGAAACACTAGAATAGGAAAGTAGGCTGTAATTTGAATTATAATGTTGTCCTAGCTAACTAGCCTAAAGCCATGAAGGATAACCAGGCAGTCCAACAGTGTTATATTTATTGATTCATTGCATTGAGGGGACCACACACCATGGAATCATGGTGTGTCTCATCAAGCAAGGGAAAAGATAGAAGTTGAAGGGTTTGGGGAAAGAGAGACATTTGGTTGAAATTGAAATGAAAGAAGAGGTCTGGGGATATGGCTCAGTGGTAGAGCACTTGCCTAGCATATTCAAGGCCCTGGATTGTATTCCCAGTGCCTCAAAAATTAATATATAAATAGTTTTACAAAATAAATGAAAGCAGAGTTTTAATAGGCTCAAAGCAGAGCTAACTATGTGGGAACTGAAGAATCACGTGTGCACTGAAGTTCTGTCACTTTGTAAACTATAGATACACATGGAACATTATGTTCAGAGACCCTACTATGCAGCTCAGCACAMGGATTAGAAACTGAGACTTCTTCTCTCTGTGACTTAAATTCTCCTGGCAAGAGTCAATATTTCRATATTTGTTTTTACTGATACAATTTGAAAGAGAAGAATTTCTGATAATCTATGATTTTTGAGGACAATTTTTCCTCAACAAGTGAGCAATAGATTACTTCAAGAGGAAGCTGTTATGACATTTCTCAGCTACAATATATGTCCTTGGGAGAACTAATGTAACCATCTAGCCTTACAATTGGATTGATCTGTCTGTTTTCCTAGGATGATGTGGGATGTTATAAAATGTAATGAGGAAGATAATTTTCTCAGTCTGGGCTTATTTTTCCTTTCTCAGTTCTTATTCACTGAGTTGGGGAGGGTGTCTCTTTATATAATTGTTACTTCTAGGGAGAGAATGTGATGACAGTGGTCCCTTATTTAAAAGCTTTCTAACTACACAGATATTTGCATGATTTAACATAATTACAGATGCTCACAGAACAATGTTTTCAATATAATTGCAGACCTTGAGATAGATGAAAGAACTGACCCTAAAACTCTGAAAGATCTTCGCTTCTCAGAAAGCCCATTAGAAATCCCAGCTTACCATGAAGGATCAAGTTCTAGACCACCCACTCAACAGTCCCAGGTAACTTTTAAGGAAAATCCATAGGGTGTGAAGATACCTCCCATATTTTTAATGCTTCCCATGAACTATTTTAAGGCAGCTCTTCCCAGCCTTTTGACCATGTGCCTGTGTTGACAATACTGTGTTGTACAAGAAAAGTCTCTATATATTCATTTATAGGGCTGTCATTGTATTGGGGTTGTAGGCAAACAGATAATAATCAAGTAATTAATCACACAAAAAAAATGTTAAACAGTAGTAAGAGTCACAAACAAGACAATCAGGATAATGAGGTAGATCAATGGTTCTCAACTTATGTGGGGTCACCAGACCAGCAGCATCAATATCACATGGGAGCTTATTTGAAATGCATATTCTCAGGCCCTGCTGAATCAGAGACTCTGGGTCTGACCACAGTGATCTGCATTTTATTTAACCCTCAAGTTAGAGAGGCCTTGAGATTGAGAATGTCTGTGAAGGAAGAACAAGTGTTGTTTAAATTGGGAGAGGGGCTTCCTTGAAGAGATGACATTTGAATTGGACTTTGGAGATGAACTTTCAGAAGCCGGCAACGTAAAGACCTTGGGGGAAAGCATTCAACAACAATCAAAATGAGGACAGCAAAGTGAGGGATCTCAAGGAAGCTGGTGTGGATGAAGCTTGATGAGCAAGGTAGGAGATGACGGGGGAGGTGAGCTGGGAGCAGAGTGCCTAGACCTGTGTTTCTCAGATATGGCTGCACATCAGATTCACTTAATGTGTTTCAGACCAATCCTGGGACCTAATCTTGAAAATTTGGGTTGGTTTGTTGTTTGGCATGGTTTGTTTTTAAAAATGCATTGTCAAGTGATTCTAATGTGCAAACATGGTTGAAAATCACAAATGCTAGTCCCATTGTAAAGAATTGGGATTTTATTCTAATTGAAAGGGGAATATATATGGAGCATAAGACATAATTCCATTTATATTTTAAAGTTCCTCTTGTGCCAGAGATTAGACTGGAGAAGACAACGAGGGGAACATCATTTCCAAGGTATTTGCTCTAGGCAAGAGATGATGGTATCTTGGACAAAGGTTGTAGACATAGTGAGGACAGGAGTTCATAGGCATCTAAACAGGTTTGACTGAGGGAATAGATAAATGGGATGAGAGAAAGGGAGGAACCAAGAATGACTCACAAGATTTTGGCCTGAGCGTCTAGAGATGATGGTACCATTAACTGAGATGGGCAAGATGAGAGAAGAGCAAGTGTTCAAGGGCACATTGGATATTCAGTTGAGAGTGTTGAACAGATTATTGTATGTGTAAGTTCAAACTCAGCCAAGAGGTCAGGAATGAAGATATACATTTGGAAATTTCATATATAGATGGTATTTAGAGCTGAATCTGAATGAGATCTCTTGCTAAGGGGGTTCAGAAGATGAAGAGAAGGTAGCACAAGACAAAATCCTCAACTTAGATGCTATGCAGGGAAGGAGGAGTTTGAGAAGTGGAAAGAAAGCCAGAAGAATGTGGTGCCATGGAAGCCAAGTGAAGGAAGAGTTTCAAGGAGAAAGCAGGGGTCATCTATGTCATACGTTGCTGAGACTTCATCCTACCCAAGCACAGAGAATTGTTCATTGAACTTGGCAAGATGGAAGTAGTTTAAGATCCTAATAAAAGCCGTATTAATACATTGTCACTACTATAACACAAGAAAGATACATGTATACTAATTGCCTACTATTATTATAGTGCTTTGATTTTTCAATGTTTATAAAATCTATTTTAGACTTTTTTGGCATCTAAGGTCAAGCCAGAAACTCTTATTGTCTTTCTCCTATTTGAGCCCCAAGTAGAATATACCAGGAGTTACATTTCTATCTAAACACAACTGTTTCTGGTATACCTATGATTCCGATGCTGCTCATACTTACCATTAAATACAAAAGAGGCAAAAAAAAAAAAAAAAAAAAAACAACAAAAAACTAGTTCCCAAATCTGATTCCACATCAGAATTACCTGGAGGAAATGTAACTATATGTGTAAATTCCCAGCTACACTTCCTGAAAACCTCCTGAAGAGTTTTAGTCCATAAACCTGGGATGAAGACCACATTTGACTTTGATGATTAGTCCAGTCAGAATCCCTAGCCAAGAAAGCCAATTATCTTAGTCCTGAGGTCAAGTAGTTACCTTCGTTTCCAGTCTCCAATGCTGAGGTGTAACACCACCTGATCTCCTGCGTTCTTCCAGATGCCCAATCACCGTATTTTTTTGGTGAACCACAAAGTCCAGGTTAGGGACTACACATCTGATAGTCTGCTTGCAATCTCCACTAAACAAAAAGGCAGCCACCTCTGCAATGGAAAATTGCCCTTCTCAATCTTCTGGAAAGAATGATTACCTGGACCCATGAGCACACTCAACTCCACTGCAGAGCAGTGTGGCACAAATAATAATACTTTTGAGATAAAAAGTATCATTTTGAAGAATTAATGGTATAAGTCAAGCACAATAACTATTTTTAACAAAACAGTCTCACATGGGCCATAATTATTTGAATGTGTCTGGTTTTGCCTGAATATTTGGATTACCTTGCCTACTTAGTTGTTTTAAGAGTTGTTTTCAAGGGAAAGATAGAGTGAGATGATACATAAAGATTCCAAGATCCAGAATCTTTTTTTTAAATATTTATTTTTTAGTTATAGGTGGACACAATATTTTTATTTTATTTTTTATATGGTGCTGAGGATTGAACCCAGTGCCTCATGCATACAAGGCAATCGCTCTTCCTCTGAGCCACAATCCCAGCCCCAAGATCCAGAATCTTAAAGAACTAGGAATATAGAGACAAAGTTTGGGGAATTTGACTAACATTCAGAAAGCCAGGGAGGCCCAAAAAGAACCACAACAAATTTTTCTTCTACTATTGTTCTTCATATTGTTAAGAGAGTCTTCTCACTTGGTGCGGTGGCACATGTCTATAATCCCAGTAGCTAGGGAGGCTGAGGCAGGAGGATTGCAAGTTCAAAGTCAGCCTCAGCAACTAAGTGAGGCCCTAAACAACTTAATGAGACTGTGTCTTTAAATAAAATACAAAATTGGGCTGGGCATGTGACTCAGTGGTTAAGCACCCCTGGGTTTAATCCCCAGTACCAAATATATATGGAGAGAGAGAGAGAGAGAGACAGAGATATTCTTCTCAACATTTCAACTGAATCCCATTTGCAGCTGCTTCATCAAATATTGGAATTAGTGATACTGTTGAGTGTTAAAATGTGTCAGCAACCTTTAAGGAGGCAATGCTTGACCTCTGAGTTTAGTATCTGGCCTAGGGGTGCTTTCAGAGTCAGGCAGCAGGGTAGAAGGTAAATGGCAGCTGATACTGGCTTTAATGTGAAGGCACAAGGGATGTGAGTTCTGTGATGATGTATAATGCCCCGGTGAACTAAAGGGGTCACTCTACTCAATGCCATACAACTACTGACAAGAGAGACTATAGATTTAGTGTTGCCACGTCTAATGGATTTGCACAAGAAGCCAGAAACTTACATCATTATGTTTAATAACCTTATTTAGAATTTTGGCAATTATTAAATTTTGAAACACTGTGGGAGCCAATATAAATGGTCCACGGGCCAAAGGAAACTCAGTAGCACACCATATTTAGCCAATTGAACCACCACTTTGTGACTTCTGGTATAGGCCTGTTAGATGTAACTTGAAAGCAATAAAAAGAAAGAAAAAAAAAAAAAACCCTGTGGCTGTCATCTCTCCCACTACCCCTGTTGCCTGCAGAATGAAATCTGAAGTCCTAAGCCTGGCATTGTGGTGGACCAAAAATTTACAGGGGACAGGTAGGCCTAGAGTTCACTACATATATTGTCAACATGAACTCAAGCAAGTGACTCAACCTTTCTTGCCTCATTCTCATCTCATAAATGGAAATTATATATTTCTCTTGGTATGATATACTCACATGCTCACAGTATCCTTTCTCTGAAATTTGTGTCAAAATGCATGACTGAATCCAATCATAAAGAAACATGTGATAAAACCAAATCAAAGGACATCCTTTGAATTAACTGGTCTGTTACTCGTGAAAAATAGAGAGAGAACTACTCTAGGTCAGAGGAGACAATAGGGACATGATGCCCAAATGTGGTCCTAGGAAAAAATGTAAAACTGTAAAAGACATCATCGGCATGACCGATGAAGTCTAAATCAAGATCTGTGGATGAGATGGTAGTAGTGTACCATTTAATGATAACTTTCTGACTTCAATACCCTGTTGTGTAAGAGGACACCTTACACAACAGGGTATATCTCTATATTCCTAGTGTAAGGTATTCCTTACACTAGGAATATAGAGACAAAGTGCGCACTCAGTTATTTAGGGGCAAAGGAACATCACCACTGCAGTTTATTCTCACATAATTCAGAGGTAGAGAAAGAAGGAAAATGGAGAAAAATTCTAATGTAAACAATTGGTCAGGCTGGCTGGACTGGAGTACTATCCATGTGATTTTTTGTAAGTTTGAAACAATCTCAAAATAAGATGTTAAAATAAAATGGGGGTAATGTAACCTCCCTCAGAGGGTATGGTGAATGTCAAGGAGATAAGCGCTGTGACATGGTAGGCACATTTTACTATTGTCAAACCCTCACTGTGGGTTAGCTTTTTCCTTTTGTGTGCCTTCTCCAGCCACAGATAAGGGCCTGCCCTGCCCTGCCATGGTGCCTTTACCAGTGTGTTTCTGCTCCTGGGAATTCCCTTTGTCTTTCTGTTCACTTGACAAACTTTACTCTCTCAGGCCTATCTGGTTGTTACCATCTCTGAGAAGCCCTTCAGGCCTGGAGCAAGTGAATGTGATTATTCCCTCATCTAAGTTCCTGGGGCTCAACCCAAATGTTTCTGTGGTGACCCTATTTTATATATGTACGCATTTGGCTCCTTGAGGGCAGGGACCATGTATCTGTGTTAGATACTGGAGTGCCTGGCACAAAGTRGATGTTCAAAATAAAAACTTAATCAAATGAGTTAAATATTTCTGGATAACACCAGACAGTTGCTGCACCTATTCTATATAGATGAGTCCTTCTGAGTTTCCTAGAAATACAATCCTTGAGAAAAATGAATTCAAGACCCAGCTATACCATGCCTTGGTATTTGTCCTAAAGGATTAAGGTCATCATACTACAGCAATATATGCAGCATATCCATGTTTATAGCAGCACAAGCCACAGTAGCTAAACTATGGGACCAGCTAGATATCCATCAACGAATAAATGGATAAAGAAAATGTGGTATATATACACAATGGAGTTTTATTCAGCTATAAAGAAAAATGAAATTATGTCATTTGCAGAAAAATGGATGGAAATAAAGACCATAATGTTAAACAAAATAAATCAAACTCAGAAGGTCAAGGGACATATGTTTTCTTTCATATGCAAAAGTTAGAGAAGAAAAATGAAAAGAAAGGGGAGGCAAATTTAATGAAAACCAAAGGGAGATCAGTAGAGGACAGGGACCAGGAGGTGGAAGGTGAGGAGGGAGGGGGGGAGTGCTGGGGAGTGATATTGGCCCAATTATATTGTTATATCCTGTGCATGTACTATTAAATAATAACAAATCCCATCATTATAGACAACTATTATGTACCAAAAAAAAAAATGCAGGAAAAAATGAATACAGTTTTTCAGTTCTAAAATCAGGTCTGTTTATAGTTAATTCAGATATCTTTTATTGTAAACTTTTATTTTTAATGAAATATACATATCTAATTATGAATAGCATTTTGAATAATTTTTAAATGTTAGATATTGGAGTGATAATTACTTAGGACCTTTCACATCATGGTTTAAAAAGATGAATGCTTCAGCATTCATTATGTAACAAATGTTAAAATTTTCCATTAATTTTTCTATTCCATAGCCTTTACCAGGTTATATTGACTATATACCTCTATGTATCTATATTCTTAATTTTAGTCTCCTGGTTTTGCACACATAACTGGCCAGAAAAGTCTGACAAGAACAGAGATCATGAGGATTCAAAGAGAGACAGACTTCCTCAAGTATGTATCACATTCTCTACTGTCTTTAAGCCCACCATAATACATTGTGTCAATGTGTTTTCCTACCCATCTCTTTCTTCTTTCCTTCCTTCCTTCCTTTCTTTCTTATAGTACTGGGGGATTGAACCCAGGGGTGCTTTCCACTAAGCTACATCTATACCTAGCCCTTTTTAAAATTTTTAAATTTTGATAGAGTTTCACTAAGCTGCAGAGGCTGGCCTTGAACTTGCAATACTCCTGCCTTAGCCTCCCAAGTCATTGGAATTACAGGTGTATGCCTCCACACCTGGCTTTGCCATAGCTTTTTAAATGAATTTGAATAGTTTTTAAAAGGCTTGATTGGCATAAGACAAACTGCATATATTTAAAGAGTTCAATTGATATGTATATGCGTATATATGTATATGTAAATGTATCCTGTATATATACAATATATATCTTCCTATATACAGGATATATGAACATTTTATATAGGATATATGAAATCATATATGTGTGTGTATGTGTGTGTATATATATATATATATATATATATTCTGTATATATGAAACTATCACAGTAATCAAGAAAATGAGCAAATTCATCACCTCCAAAAGTTTCTGCCATTGTACCTTTTCATCCTTCCTCATTCCCAGGTAAATATTGATCTGCTTCTTGTCATCATATCTTTGTTTGCATTTGATTCCATATACATGTGGAGTAATTTAGTATGTACTCTTTTTTCCTTTTTCTTTTTTTTTTTTTTTGGGGGGGGGGGTTCAGGCTTCTTTGACCAGCATAACTATTTTGAGATTCATTCATGTTTTTTCTTGTGTGAAACATCTGTGCTTTTCATTGCTGAGTTGTTATGTTTATCATTGAGTTTCCATGCTATGGATAAGCCAGTTTGTTTATCCATTTACTTATTGAGAGTATTGTATAATTTCTAGATTGATATGAACATTTTACACATAAAGTTGATATGAACATTTTATACAAATCATTGCATACATATATATTTTCATTTCCCTTCAGGTAAATATCTTGAAGGGGAATGACTGGGTTACATGATAGGTATATATTTTACTTTTTAAGAAACTATTCAATTGTTCTGTGAACTAGTTGTATATTTTTATATTCTCACCAGCAGTGTTTGAGAATTCCAATTTCACCACATTCTTCTCCCCTCCCCCCTGCACCCCTTTGGTACTGGGGATTGAACCCAGGTGCGCTTAACCACTGAGCCACATCTCTAGCCCTTTTTATTTTGAGACAGGGCTTCACTAAATTGCTTAAGTCCTCACTAAGCTGCTAAGGCTGACTTTACATTTATGTTCCTCCTGCCTCAGCCGCCTAAATTGCTGGGATTACAGGCATGTGCCACCGCAACCAGCCAGTTTCACTACATTCTTTCCAACACTTTTATTTCTATTTTGATCATTCTGTTGAGATTGTAATAATATCTCATTGTGATTTTATTTTTTATTTTGCTGGTTACTATTGGTATTGTGTTTATTTGCCATCCATAAATCTTCTTTGGTAAATTGTCTGATCCAACTTTTGTAAAAAAAATGGGTTATATATCTTTTTATTGTAGAGTTGTACATGTTTCCCTTTTTCAGATATATAGTTTGCAAATATTTTCTCCCAGTCTTTGGCTTTTCATTTCGATGAAGTTCACATTATCTGTTTTTGTTTTATATTTCATTCTTAGTTTATTATATTTAAGAGATCTTTTCTAAACCACACACTAAGATTTTCTCCTAATTCTTTTCTAGAAGTTTATAGTGTTAGATCTTATACTTAGTACTTTAATGTATTTTAATTAATTTGCATATGATTGAGGTTCATAGTTTTGTATATGGATATTTAATTGTTGCAGCTCATTTTCTTGAAAAAAATTATCTTTCTTCAGTGATTAGTTTTGGAATATTTGAAAATCAATTTTTGATAATTGTGTGAATCCAGTTTTGAACTCTATTCTGTTCCACTGATGTTTCTCTCTTTATATTTTGGTCTGAGGATTGAACCCAGGGTTGCTCTACCACTGGACTACATCCCCCACTCTTTTTAAGTTTTGTTAAGACAGCGTCTCTCTAAGTTGCCCAGGCTGGCTTTAAACTACAGGTTTCCACTCTGTGGCCACTTTGTAATAAAATGACCTGGAAAAGAATTTTCTTCCTAGGACTTGTCCCATAGTTACTAAGAGTGGTCTGCTTGTGTTTTGTTTCATTTTTAAAACTGTTTGAATACATTTAGATTTTCACCAATCTTCTTAAAGTGGATCAATCTTCACATGGACAGTCAGGAACTTGTTTTGTTACAGGTGTGCCCACTGTCTGGCTCCCCGCCCATCTGATCCCTTTGCTCGCTTCTGTCAAGAGTGTGGTGCTCCTGTCCCTCCCATATTTGGCTATCGTCTTCCACCCCCAGAAGGAGCGCAGGTGAGCAGCAAAAATTCTTAAAAACATCTCTTATTGGTTTATGTGATCTTTATTTGCAGCAGTAAGACAGTGCCTGTATACATGAATCACAAACATTAAAACTTGTTGAAAGAATGTCCTGCAGATTAATCTATTACTATCTAGATTCCAACTTAAGAATGGAAAAAACCACTCATTTGCAGTGACATTTCTTTCCAATGCTTTGCAAAAGTACAGGCACAGAGGAGATTGAAATCTTATTGTTTAAATGAGGCATACATGGATAAATAAATGTTTCCTATCTATTTGCTATTTCCACTTATAACCTGGGTACAACAAAGGAATATATTTTTTAAACAAATGGAAAAAAGTACTAATTACTTTATAGCTCTCTATCTATAAATCCATAAGATGCATTATTCTGTCCAAAGATTGACTTAGATTGATCAGTATATTTGAATTTTAAGACTTTGGCTGATTAAGTGTAGGTAATAATTACTATTATCCTACGACTAGTTTTGTAGTTAGAAGAGATGCTTCACGTGCTAACAATCAAAACCTTTACCTCTTAATATTGTTTTCTTTAAACTGGGGCGTAGAAAATGAATAGAAAGATTTGTGATGTTGAGTGAGAAATGACTATGTTTAGAAAATATATAAAATGATTAAAGATAGTCATTTAAAAGGTACTGATTCAATGAACTCAGAATCCAGAGTTTTAGAATTGAGTTATGACCTCAAGCAAGGAGTCAGGTACTAAATGGATATCATTTTGGCGGGGGGAGGGGTACAAGGAATTGAACTCAGGGGCACTTGACCAGCCCTATTTTGTATTTTATTTAGAGTGAGAGTCTCACTGAGTTGTTTAGTCCCTCACTTTTGCTGAGGCTGGCTTTGAACTTGTGATCCTCCTGCCTCAGCCTCCCRAGCCGCTGGGATTACAGGTGTGCACCACCATGCCCAGCTACTAAATGGGTATCTTTTTAAAACTTTCCTCCAATTTATTGTTCAAGATTGTTGTAAAAGTTAATTTAATATATTTTGAACTCCTTGAGAATTCCTTGAATAAGATAATACAGAAAATAAAACATGAACAGATCCCATTAGTTTGAATTTTCTGTTTTTATCAGTTAGTACAATGTCAAGGTTATTTCCTTTTGCCAAGAGAAAGATTTTCAGAACGTTCTTTGTCTTTGCAGGGAGAAAATGTTATTAGATGTTAAAAATATTTTTAATGAATCATAAAACATCCATGTTGCTCCCCAAATTATATTTATATTGGTACAATAACAGTCTATCTTATATAAATAGCTTTGTAATTTAAACTAACAATAATTTATTGAGTACTTACTGTGTCCTGCTCTCCACTGGTCTTCTTGGACTCAAAGGTGTAGGCCTATACAGCCCTCTGTTAGGCATATTTCTCCTTTGCCAGCTGGCTGGATGTTAGTTTTTGTCAAAAAAGGAATTCTGTAATTCCTTTTTTGCTTTCTCTTTGCTTCTGTGGTGCTCAACTAAGTGGCAGAACACCCAGCTGTGCTGAATTCTATGAATTTTTTAAAAAAATTTTTAGTTGTAGTTGGACACAATACCTTTATTTTATTTGTTTATTTTTATGTGGTGCTGAGAATCAAACCCAGCACCTTGCACATGCTAGGTGAGCGCCCTACTGCTGAGCCACAACCCAGTCCCAAATTCTGTGAATTTTGATGGTATCACATGGATAACTTCTCAGTGAGTTCCACCAGTACCCCAACCAGCTTCCCAGATAGTCTCTCAGGCACCCCAGTGGACAGCTCCCCAGTAAGTTTGAGCAGCATCCCAGTATATTTTCTTTCATTAGAAAGAACCCAGTGGGTAGCTTTTTCTTGCCCATCCTGATTAGTATCACTTCAGCAAACTGATCAGACATCTGCTGGAACAGACATACCCCATTCAGTGAAATCCAATTTCACCCTTAAAGGTGGGGTGAAGTGAGTGCCTCTTCTTTATTTGATCCTCCTCAGATTCTCTGCCTTAGCCATACAGGTAGTGGCTCCTCCCTATGTTTGGTATTCCTATATCATGTGGAGTCTGCTCTGCCCATTAATAGTTAATCCCCTGTTGCTGGTTAATAAATTATTTATATTAATTTTCCCCTGTTCAAATAACTGGGTAGATTCTGTCTTCTGACTGTATTATGACTGTTACAGAATTGGTGATGGGTCCCAGGAAATAAACCCGTGAAGAAAGAATATTGAAAATGGTTTGTTCTTGTCCTTTGCTTGAGAGCAGGGCTGAGCTCTTTGTCAATGATAAATAGGATTCTGGTAATCTCTTGCATGAATTGGCCTCAAAGTTAATCAAGCTATCACCAGTGGCTGATTATAATGAAGTTCCAATTGCAGCAAGTATTCTGAGTGGCCAAGTAACTGCAGTACTTTGTTTTGGAGGGGGAGGTTACTGGGGATTGAACCCAGAGGCTCTTTACCACTGAGATACATCCCCAGTCCATTTATATTTTATTTGAGACAGGATCTCACTAAGTTGCTTAGGGCCACACCAAGTTGCTGAAGCTGGCCTCAAACTTGAAATCCTCTTGCATTAGCCTCCTGAGTAGCTGAGATTACAGGCTTACACCATTGTGCCTGCCAGTAGCTGTTGTACTTGACTGCTGTGGCAGTAACAATGGCTACAAAGATTGTGGCACAGGATGTGTTCTCCTGAGTCCAGGAACATTCACAGAAAGCAAATGACAAACTCAGGACCTTTAATTCAGAGTCTGAGAAATAGAGAGTTCCCATAACACCCTATTCTTTTCTCCATGAAAAAAAAAATCTATTTATTGTAGCCCAAAGCTTATATTTAAACAATCAAACATTTAACTGTGTATTTTGGCTTCGCCTTATCACTAATTTCCTGTGTGAAAGTTAGGGCATTAATTAGAAAAAAATGGAACCCTGAAATGTGGCTATTAGGTTAGACCCAGAAGAAACTGACAAACTTAAACTCTTGTAACATTGGGTCTGATTATCTGTAGCTGGAACCTGCCCGCTGGTCTGAGGGTACTAGCCTTCCTTTTCATGAAATTTTTGTGACAACCATACTTGGGGTAGATGCTTTGATGGGGGATGTCCATTCTCTCTAAGACTCACTACAACGACCTGAAGCATTATTAAGGTCCTACTCCAGCAGTATGATCCAGGAGAAAATAGCTTACACACAAAAAGAGAAGTAAGATTTTGCTAATATATATTTGCAGAATCTTGTAGAACAGGTGGGAGTAGATTTTAAATGAAGATAGAATATAATACTAAAATGGGCCGAATTCTTTGATATCTGTACACTTTGGGTTTAAATGGGCTAGCTAACACAGCTGGAGTGACTAACAGGCTGCTTGGTTGACTAAAACCTAGACTTAGTAATAACCTATGTTTAACAGCATAGAGGTACCAGAAGTTAATTTTCTCATACCAGAGTTAATTTCTCTATAGGCTGGAAATCCAAGATCAAGATTTCAGCATGGTTAGTTTCTCTTGAGGCCTCTCTCCTTGACTTGCACATGGGCACTTTGCCACTATGTCCTCACATGGCCTTTCCTCTGTGCACACATCCCTGTTGTCTCTTCTTTAATTATGAATTTTAGAGGAGCACAGTTCAGTCTATAATACCCAACAACATGTGCAGGAGGGTATCCAAAGACTTAGGAAAATAAAATAAAATTTTATTATGTGGGCCTGTACCCCACAACTCTTAATTGTATTTTAAAAGGAGGTACAGTAGATACTTCTATCAGTATGATCTTGAGAGGTACATTAGTGAGAGGAGCACCTATATTTCTTTTTTTCCCTACGTTTTTTATTATGCATTATAGTTGTGTATAATGATGGGATTTGTTGTGACGTATTTGTACATGCACACAATATAACAATATAATTTTGTCCCCTATCACTCCCCAGCACTTTTCCCTTCCTCAGCCCCTGCTTTTTTTTTTTTTTTTTTGTACCAGTGATTGAACCCAAGGGTGCTTAACACTGAGCCACATCCCCAGCCCTTTTTATTTTTCATTTTGAGACAGGGTCTCACTAAGTTCCAAAGTCCTCACTAAGTTGCTGAGCCTGGCTTTGAACTCTTGATCTTCCTGCCTCAGCCTCTGGAGTTGCTGGGATTATAGGCATGTGCCAATATACCCAGGAGCACCTGCATTCTTTTTTTTTTTKTGTGTGTGTGTGGTGCTGGGGATTGAAACAAAGCATGCTAGGCAAACACTCTATAAACTGAGCTATACCCCCAGCCCCAGCACCTGCATTCCTAAAAAGTTCTGTGGCTTCTTTCTTTTGTAGGCCAGATATGATCATGGAGGATACTGCCATTTTGATGGGCTCCCTGATCTTAGTGGGCCTACTTGGATTCCAGAGCAGCAGAGGTCAAATGCCAGAAGCTAATTGCCAAATACAAGGACAGTAGTGCTGCTTCAGTAATCAGAATCTCACTGATCCTGGTCTTCCTAGGAATGAAATAGCTGAGTAGCCTACTGATATATTCCTTGGCCCATGTAATTGAACAACCAGCAGATCTTGTAACCCCAAATTAACATGAGTCACTACATTGGACCACCCAAGTTTCTCACCTAGTTTACAGACATAAGTCAGGTTTACCAATCCAGAGTCTGTTGACTGAAGAGGAGACCAGCTCTCCTTAGAAAAAGACTGCAGCTTGGCATATACATATCATAAATCTTCCTTGAAGTCTTTCCCAAAAGGACTGGTGGCTTTCAGTAGAGTCACTATACTTTGGGGGAAAAGTAATGCCAAAACCACTGAGGGATTGCTAGCTACTGACTATGATTTCAAGCTGATTCTTGGAGATCTAAAGCATTGCTAAGATCTTCCAGTAAAAGTTGAGATGTCAGGTGATCAGGTGATTGATGGAGCTTTACCTTGAGTCTGACTCATAGTTTTTGCTTCATGTATTTGGGGGGCTTGTTATGTTTGTGCTATAATCTGAATGTTTGTGTTCCTCCAAATTCATATGCTGAAATCCTTAACCCCCTAGGTAAAAGTGTTATGAGGTAGGACATTTTGGAGTTAAGTTAGATCATGATGGTGGACTCCTTATGAATGGTATTAGTGCCCTTTAAAAGAGACCCCAGGAAGACTGTTTGCCCTTCCATGTGAGGATATAGCTAGAAAGTGCCTCTAAGGCAGAGAGTAGCACCTAGATCTTGGATTTCTCAGTCTCTAAACCTGTGAGAAATTAATGTTGTTTTTAAGTCACTTAATTTATTATTATAGCAACTTGAATGAACTAAAACAGTTCATAAACACTTTAAAGTGTTATATTTGTTGACCTTTTCATTCACAAATATTTCTCCTTGACTTTAGAAGTATCAAGTCCTTTATTCTCTGATACTTATGCAACCCCTCCAGCTTTCTTATGCTTACTGTTGGTATTGAATATCTATCTATATACATACATATGTGTGTAATTATATATATATATATATATATATATATATATATATGTATAAAATGACAAGATGTCTATGCCACCTGTACATATTGAATATATAGAATTGTGGTTAAGCCACGTCCTCAGCCCTTTTTTATATTTCATTTAGAGAAAGGGTTTCACTGAGTTGCTAAGTGCCTCAGTAATCTGCTGAGGCTGGTTTGGATCTCATGATCCTCCTGCCTCAGCCTCTCAAGTTGCTGGAATTACAGGCATGCACTATCATGCCTGGCCCCAGTACTTTTTGTTTTTTGTTTTGAGACAGGGTCTTGCTAAGTTGCTTAGGGACTCACTATGTTGCTGAGGCTGGCTTTGAACTTGTGATCCTCCTGCTTTAATCTCTGGAGCCACTGGGATTACAGGCGTGTGCCTCCATGCCCAGTCAGATCTTACTTTTTTATCCATTCTGATAACCTTTGCCGTTTGTATGTGGTTTAGTCTGGTCCCATTTAAGTACACTTTGATGTGGTAGAATTTACATTTGTTGTTTGTTTCCTTTTTTAAAATATTTTTTAAATGTCAGTGGACCTTTCTTTTATTCATTTATTTATTTGCAGCATGACAACATGCTAGGCAAGTGCTCTACCACTGAGCCATGACTCCAGCCCATGTTGTTTATTTTCTGTTTATATATTTCATTCCTTTGCTCTCCCTTTATTGCTTTCTTTTGTGGTAAATGTTTTTAATGTGCCACTTTAATTCCTCTGTTTATTTTTTAAAACTATTTTTAAAGTTATCTGGTGCTTTAGGGATTATAATATGGACCTTAATTTATCACAGTCTATTTTAGAATATCTTAATTTCAATAAAATATAGAAATTTCCCTTCAATATATCTACTTTTCTTCTCCCTCTCTTTATCTCTTTTTACATGTTTTAACTTAAAAATACAGATTATAGAATCTTATGTCATTTAAAGGAGATAAGAAAAATTATCTTTGGAGTTATTGGTATTTACCCCTATACTTATTATATCTTGTTCTTTCATTTCTTTCTGTGAACTCAGGCTATCACTTATTTCTTCACCTCTTATTTCTCTTAAGATATATCTGCTAGCAATTTCTCTCTGTTTTTTGTCTGAGAAACCTTATTTTTCATTAATTTTTGAAGGATAGTTTTTCTGGGTATAGAATTCTTATTTGGCAGTCATTTTACCTTCTAGGTCTTTGAGTATGTCATTATACTACTTTCTGGCCTCTACTGTTTTTTATTTATATGATAGTCTTTCTCTTGCAGCTTTTAAATTTTATCTTCGGGGTTGGGGATGTGGCTCAAGCGGTAGCGCGCTCGTCTGGCATSCGTGCGGCCCGGGTTCCATCCTCAGCACCACATACCAACAAAGATGTCGTGTCCGCCAAGAACTAAAAAATAAATATTAAAAAAAAATTCTCTCTCTCTCTCTCTCTCTTTAAAAAAAAAAAAATAAAAAAAAAAATAAATTTTATCTTCGTCTTTAATACTCAACAATTTGATTATAATTGTGTCTAAATGTGGATCTTTTGTGTGTATCTTTCTTGAGTTTATTTGATCTGTAGATTAGTGTTTTTCTTCCAGTGTGGAAACTTTTAGCCATTAGTTTTTCAAATTCTCCTTCTGTGTGTTTCTTTCCTTTCCATTACATGCATGTTGTTATACTTGAGGTTGTTTCATGGGTTTTTTTTTGTGATCTACTGATTTTTTTCAGTGTTTTTTCCCCTTGATTGAATAATTGAACTATATGCAAAGTTACTGGTTGTTTCCTCTGTTATCTCTGGTCTTCTAAATCCCTCTAGAGATGTTTTTATTCTAGACATTTTACTTTTCTACTTAAGGTTTTGAYTTAATTATTTTTTTAAATTTATATCTATTGAGATTCAATATTCATCAGATCTTATTATCACCCTTTGTTTAATTTTATAAACATGATTTCCTTTAGTTCTTTGAATAATTTTTTAATAAAAACTGCTTTGAGAAAGACAAAATAAATAAATAAATAAATAAAAACTGCTTTGAAATTTTTGTCTGTGGCCAAAAAAACAGCAGAACACTCTGAGGAAGACAGAAGCCTGTCTGCTTTTCCCACCTCAGAGATTCCAAAATGCTGTATAATTCCAGGATGCTGTATGATCAGGGGAGGCTGGGGCAGATGCAGACAGGCTCTGCAGGCCACACAGAGAACACACCCAGATTTGAGCTTGGAAACACTCAGTGGGGCCCTAAGCAACTACTGAGACCCTATCTCAAAATTAAAAAACAACAACAAAAAAGAGCTAGAGGTGTGGCTCAGTGGTAGAGGGCCTCTGGATTCAAACCCCAGTACCACAGGGCAGTGAGGGGGTGGTTTAAGGATGTCATTCATTGGTAGAGCACTAGAGCACTTGCCTTGAGTGAACAAGTCCCTGGGTTCAGTCCCCAGAACACACACACACACACACACACACACACACAAAGCAGGGAAAAAACTGAGAATTATTAAGCCTAAAATTCTGCTTTTTAGACTAGTAATTTGGGGGAAAAATCTTTGTCTGCTAAATCTAGCATCTGAGGACCCACAGATATAATTTCTCTTAACTCTTTTTACCCTTAGTATGGGGCACACGTTCTTATTTTTTTCTTGAGTAGTGAACATTTTAGATAATATACTATAACAATTCTGAATTCTTACTTTTTTCCCTGCAGGGAGTTGTTTTTTGTTTACTTCGATTAAATCTTTAATGTCTCTCTTCTTCAAAGTTTAGTCACTGATATCAGGATTTCTTTTCTTTCTTTCTTTTTTTCTCTCTTTTGTTTAGATATTTAAACCTGGAGTTATCTTGGGTATCTTAATGTTCAGCTGAAGATTGACCAGAAATTTTGCTCAAGCACTTMAAGGCAATAAGGCCTCCACTCTAAGCTGATAGATCTGTGTGGGGGCTGGGTAGACTATTAAACATCAGACTGTTTTCAAGTTTGCCTAAGCTTTGACTTTATACTGAGCTCTCTTGCCTCTCCATATTCAGTCTCCATTGGCTAGGGATACGTGGGTGGCTTTGGCCCACTTTGGCTTACGCAGAACAAGTGCATAGGCATGAGTCATGGAAAGATACATGGAGAATTTATCATGAATGACATCCTGGAACTCCCTGTTAAACCCTTGGCCAATTCCCAGTCTATCAATCACCACAAACAGGACCATGATCTCAGACGAGGTCCTCCCTGTTTGCTTGCCACTGAGATTTTCATCTTAAGGATGCTCCAAATCAAGTGATCCCTGTTCATCAGCAGCCACAAAACTGTTGGTTTTTACAACCTGCCTTGTGGTGAAGCTATCACCAGATAGAGCTGGGAAGGAAGGGACAAGCCCCACTCCGCCCTGCCAGAACATCACAGACTAGTATATTGTTAGCTGAATTTCAGTCATTTCCAGGAACTTTTCAGTTTTTGCCTACCTTTGGTTGACTGGCAGAGTGCTGACATGGCTGGTTTTTTACAGCTTTATTTGATTTTGTAATTACTTTTTGGGGAGAGAATTTATCGACCTCCCACTCCATCATGCTGTAAGTTAGCGTTCTAGCATATTTGTATGTATTTCTCTTTTCTACAACAAACATGTTTTTATTCTTAATAGGAATAAAATAATATAAAGGTAGTTATTTTAAATACCTTTAAAAAGGCAAATTAAACCTTACATTCTGAGATCTATTCATACCTTAAGTTGTTGTATCCCAAGCAAACCTGATTTTTCCTTTGTGCAGATGGGCTTGTGTGCAGAATGTGGAAGCCTGGTCCCCATGAACACGCCTATCTGTGTGGTGTGTGAGGCCCCTCTTGCTCCACAGCTGTGGCCTCAGGCAAGCCTCCACTTGAAGGTAATGAAATATGATTTTGAAAAAACCCAAATGAAATACATAGAAAGTGACCTTTGAACAATTAGGGTTTTCTTCACCTGGTGGAGTGGGCTAACAAATAAAAGCTAACATTTGTTGAAAAAAATCCATTCAAATCTTGGGTAAATATGCTGCCCAAAAGATAACTTGTAATAGGATCTATAACATTAAAAAAAAAATAACTTAGACTGCACATTTTTCAAATATCCTAGACTTTGAGTACAATACTCAAAGTGAGTGTAAGGGACATAAAGGTTACTTCCCTTGAGACAGAAAAGTATATTGAATGCAAGATAATAAGTATATATTTAAGAGAAATAAAATGAAGATTATAGCAGAGCCTCCAAGATGTTTCTAATATCTATTCTCTTTCTTCCATATTAATAGAATCTTTAGTTTATCACAAGGATCAGAAATGTAGGAATGTATTCCCTGAACATCGATTTGAAGGCCAAATTTCAGCATAACTAACAGTTTTTCCCCTGAGATATTTAAACTTTAACATTGCACATTATTTGGCTTATAATCTTGCCCTTAAGTGGCTTCATGCTTTTCTTTGCTCTATTTAATTTGCTCTATTATATATAAACAAAGAATGCTTATAACTAGTCACATGGAAAAAAAAGTTACATATCATCATATAAAATTTTTTAAAATTTGACAAATGATGAAAACTTTTTGGTAGAATGGTTGAACATACAACTGTATCTTTTTTAATTTACAATTCCATTTACCTCCTCTGTAATCCCAAAGAAACATCAATAGAGGATGAAATATATTTAATTAAGGGATAAAAAAGCAGGAATTTTTAGAAATAAAGGAAATACATGGACTTAATTGTACAATAAGAAATATAATATTTCTAAAATGGGCTTATAGATTCTAGGTGTGCAAAATGTATTAAAGGAAAAGCTAAGTCCACTTCTTGTTCCACCTCCAAGCTTCCTTCACTGTGAAAATTTCAGTAGTATCCCAGGATATGTAAAACTTCAGAAATTAGATTTTGAAAAACTGGTTGGGCCAAAGTCAGATAGATGAAAATTTACTAAGTGCTTTGGTAGGTAATTATTTTCACCCTTAAACTTCAGAAGCTACCATGGGGAGCTACCAAACGCTTCTCGAAACCCATCTTTAGGCTTCATATACATGAGAGAAAGAAATAAGCTCTCTCTTATTTAAGCCACTGTTATTTTTGGAATTTTTGTTAATCAAAGCAGAGCCTACTCTTGTTAATATGTTTTCTCAGGATGTTTGGAGATGTCTTTTCAAACTCCTTGGAATATTCAAAACAGGAGGAATAGGTGTCACCTACAGCCTGCATGGGGAGGAAATAAGCAACCCTCAGAGTTGTGGGCTAGCTGGAAATAAAAGTCTGAAAAAGTAATATTAAGAAATAAACTCAGGGCTGGGGTTGTGGCTCAGCGGTGGAGTGCTCGCCTAACACAGGTGGGATGCTGGGTTCGATCCTCAGCATCACATAAAAATAAAATAAAGGTATTGTGCCAACTACAACTAAAACAAAATATTTTAAAAAAAAAGAAACACAAAAGATGAGAAATATATTTTTTTCAAAGTGAGGGCTTGATGAGTAGAATAGACCTGTTTCAACAGAAGGGTCTGATCCTAAAAAAGAGAAAAGCCCATGAATGCCTTATTTATAGTGAAACACACCAAAGAAATTTATCGTGAGGAGGGCTTCTTCAAGGTAAACAAGAAGCTGGGGAAATTGGCCCAGTTGGAGACTTATCACTTGCGTAGTTATTCTTCCTCTTCCAGGCAGCTGGACCCTCAAGGCTGTTTAAGTACACTGGTATCTCTTTTACCCAAGGCAAGCAGTCATTTAAATTCAAAGCTATTGAACTCATAAATTCTTTGCCAGGCATGGATGGATTGGGCTCCATTAACAGTGAGCACCTGCAAATGGGCGTGTCTTTCTACACCTTTACATGGAAAGATTCCAGATGGGGCAATCAAGCTGTCCAAGGCTATGGAGTTCAAAGCAATAATTTATTAGCCACTCCTGACAAACAGGGATGTCTGTTGTCAACTAAATTAAATATGTATCACATTTCTTCCACCTTTAAAATCTGTAGTTCTAAGGAGAGAAATAGTAGAAATAGATTGGACTGGACAGTGGATAAGGGAGGTGGATAGAAAGGACAATAGAATTAATTGGTTATAACCATGTATTAATTGGTCATAACCTTGTATTTGTATACATGACCAGGGTAACTCCATACTACGTATGACCACAAGAGTGGAAACCTAATAGAACAAGTTATACTTTATGTATATATATTCTGCCAAAATACATTCTACTGTCATATGTAACTAAAAATAAAAATAATAAGTAAATAATAAAACCTGTAGTTCTTCGTTCTAGGAAGGAAAAGAGATGTAAAGGTATAAGTAATTTTTCCTTCAATTTGTTGTAAGTCCTTTATTGAGAGTAAACATAGGACTGCTATATTGATTAGTAGCATTAAATCCAGGGGTGGTCCCTTTATTAAAGGGCAATTTCTGAAAAAGATGGCCACTTGCATGTTATTTCTATTCCATTGGTGGTCCAAAGTTGGCATATACCTTATAATAAAGAATGTAAGATATAAGAATTCAAAGGAGAACTTAGAAAATCAAGCCTGCTTGACTTCAATGTCACTTTTTCTAAGGGAATTATTGACTTTGAAATTATTGAGTAAACTAGCTTCACATTAACTAAATATTCCTAGAATTTGGTACAGCTTCCATAAAGGGATGTTTCAAACATTAATTTTCAAAAATCATGGGAAATGATGATTGAGGGTATCATTATTTACTAATGACTCTAGAAGTGAGACTCTTGTGATCATTTCTTTTTTTTTTTAATTTTTATTGTTGGTTGTTCAAAACATTACATAGTTCTTGACATATCATATTTCACACTTTGATTCAAGTGGGTTATGAACTCCCATTTTTACCCCGTATACAGATTGCAGAATCACATCGGTTACACATCCACTGATTTACATATTGCCATACTAGTGTCTGTTGTATTCTGCTGGTATTTGTTTTCCCCTAGAGTTTAGTTTATTTTAGCACTAGGATTTGTGTGTGTGTGTGTGTGTGTGTGTGTGTGTGTGTGTGTTTGTGTCTGAGGTTTGAACCTCTACCAGTAAGCTTTTTGTTTTTTATTTTGAGGCAGGGTCTCACTGTGTTGTTGAGGCTAGTCTCAAACTTGCAATCCTCCAGCCTTAGCCTCCTGAATAGCTGGGATTGTAGGTGTGTACCATCATGCCTGGCTTATTTTAGCATTACATTTTTATGATCATAAGATATATTCAAAAGTGTATATATTGCTTAATTTTGTTTCTTTCAATGAACATTTGAATACTTCTTGGCATCCCCCCTTCTACTTTTTTATTTGGAAACTTGACTACATAAACAGTATACTTCATTTCATAAGAATTCATAGAGTTGTATGAGCCTAAGGAAGTCTCTGGAAACCTGTATTTGGGTCCTTGAACAGGTTGTATTGGGCGAATGGTTCTAAAGACAGAGTGAGGTCTCTAGACCAGTCCTCCATTGATCATATGGCATTTGGGCCTTGTGCCAAACAGCTGGTATCCTTCACCATTTTGTGGCCATGAACCTTCCCTTAGCTTCATCTGGTTTCTCTTTGTTCTACCATGTACTTCTACCATGATCTCTCGGGTGCTGAGCAGCTTTTAAAGACTTCTTTTGATTTGTCTTTTTCTTAGACCATTGTGTTGGTTTCTGCATACTGTAGTCCCCAGGCTTTCACCCTGAGACTCACTGCCTCCTGCCTAGATTCAGTGACCCGGGCCCCTGTGTACCATGGTGGTCATGGTGGCTACAGGACAGAGAAGAAAAATTCATGAATTCTATCAGGGTCAGAGCAAGGGGTGGTTTCAAAAAGAAGATGTCATCTGACTGGATATTGTGGGGAGCATAAGAGTTTGCCAGATTAAAAAGTGGTGAGACAAGCGTTGGCTCATGTGTAAGCATGTGGAAGACTGGCAGGGGACAAGGGCTGTTCCAGGCATGTAAAGTCTGCGATGCCCTACTAGTTCATTTCCAACATTCTGCCCCATTTTATTGTGTCAATTAAAGCTTATCATTTGGGTATTTGAAAATTGTTCTCAACTTCCAACTCTTTTATAAAAAAGTTTTATCCCATTGACTAAGCTGGGTCTATTAAATTGGTTAAAACCATTCAACTAGATGATATGTTGCAACTGCTGTGGAAGAAATGGAAAATGCAGGTATTGACTTTTTTTTAGCATCCTTGTTAAGGCCATGATGGTGGCCTTTGATGGTGGCCTCAATTCCAAATCATTCCTATGAACATCTATGATTCTATGGATACAGTGGTTGTGATATACAATGATTTTTATGTGATTGTGGATCATAGTCACTGCTTTGAATGGAAGTGGGCWATGGCATAGTGTCAAACGCCATCACAAAAACCAAGATACCATTTAGTAGATCCAGTGCAGTAAGGTAGACCACCACCTTGAGAGATTCTTTGTAGTATCTCAGAATGGAGAAGATGGAGGGCAGTATGGGCATTTATTACTGGGAATTGATGACTTTGTTTTCCATATTTTTAATTGGTGCATTATAATTATACATAATGGTTGGACTTGTTACATATTCATACACGCACACAATGTAACAGTAAAAGGAATGGGTGAACTTAAAGAAGGTTTGCAAGAGTGAGCCCAAGTGTGAATTGTGGACTATGAGTGATAATGATGTGTCAGTGTAGGTTCATGGGTTGTAACAAATGTACCACTGTGATGCCTATGTTAACAGAAAGGCTGAGTATGTGTGGGGACAAATGTATGTAAGAACTGTAATGTCTGCTAAGTTTTACTGTAACCTAAAACTTCTCTTAAAAATAAGGTTTATTAATGAAAATTTTACAATAGAGGTTTTGTAAGGCAGGACTAAGATTGGGCAGAGTGTAGACTGGGCAAAGCTGTGATATACATGTTTTGGTTTGTGGACCCTCCAAGATGGTATCTTGAAGTAAGATTCTGGATTTGGTAAGTAAATAACTTTAGTTGGATTACAGTCTTCTCTTCTTAGAGGAAGTATCTCCTGCAGCAAACAATAAAATCATTTTTGTTCTATTTCAGTACTTTTAAACACCAGAACAAAAAAATTGTCTCACTTCTTAATGAGTTTCACTAGATCATGTCTGAGTTGACACCTTCAGGCATTTTGTAGCTTAAATCTTACAGAAAAACCCTGACAATTGCAGATTATTCTATGGCAACTTTAAGAGACGTTAGAATCCTGGACCCAATGAGTATCAGGAATTAGGCCCAAGACTGTGATTCTCTGCCACTCATTTAACAGTTAACCTCTGTCTGCCCTTTAGGAGACGCCTACATTGGGAATGTGGTTTCCTGAGTAGGTACAGATTCCTAAGAAAATGTTAGGAATCTTCTACTGAAATGGAGTTAATCAGACTTTGAAATGTTGGGATTTTATAGAGCTATGTGGTGATATTATAAATGAAATCTCAGATGTTGGGATTTCTTTTCTTCATGATCCTTTACCTGTACCAGTTTCTAAACATTCTGTATTAGTTTGGGGATGCCTAGACTCCACAGTCCCAGAGTACAAAGGAATATTCAAGCATCATGGTCATTGAAAATTGAAAAGATAGTATCTTGAGAGTACTGGATGATCCAATGTCAGTAGGTATAGCAAACTCCCAATAGCTGAACCCTAGTTAGACTGTTTTGACCACCTTTTTCCCTTCTCCATCTCCTGTGTTGTACCTTAACCCCAGGGTCCTGACTCAGAAAGTTGTACTTACAATTTCTTTTCTAAGATAATCTTTCTTCTTTCTTTTTTTTTTTTTTTTTTGGCACTGGGGTTTGAACCCAGGCATGCTTTATCACTAAACTACATTCCTAACTCTTTTCATTTTTAATTTTGAGACAGGGTCTCACTAAGTTGGTTAGGGCCTCACTAAATTGCTGAGGCTGACCTGGAACTTATGATCCTCCTGCCTTGGCCTCCCAGTTGCTGGGGTTGCAGGCATGTGTCACTATACACAGCTACTTCTTTCATTTCTAAGTGAGAAAAAGAACCTAGAGCCCCATGGGTAAAACCTAGTCCCCAAACAAGATTATTGGAAACACAAAGAAGCTGGTCTCGAATCTTTCTGTTTACTATTTATGCTATGAAATGGAGAGCCTACTGACCATTGGACTTCTCCCATTGGGTGACGGGGATGGGAAACCTTACATACAATCAGTGCAGAATTTTTGAATGTCCTTCAAAGACCAAATGAATACTATTTTAAGTTTGTTTGGGATTTTGTTTCTTTTAAAACTGTGCTAATTTATCTGATGCTATTTATTGTTGTAATAATTCCTAAACCAATCTAATCTTGAGGACCTTAGTGTTATAATAGGGTCTAGAGCTGGATGACTAACTACAAAGATTGCTTGATGATTTCTCTGCAATGTTATTTGCTCACTTGTTCTTCTTCTTTGTTGATAAGGAGAAAGTAGTCTGCCGCACCTGTGGCACAGGGAATCCTGCTCACCTGAGATACTGTGTCACCTGTGAGGGGACTCTGCCTTCAGCACAAGAGGTAGGTTGACTGTATGTGCCAATTCTATATCTGGGAGCTACTAAATGTTTAATATTGATGTTAATAGAGAGTTTAATCTGCAGTGGGGTAAGAAGGCTCCTTCACCCAAAAAACCTTCTCATGGTAAACTAAAAGCAACATTGCTATTTGTGCAGAGGACTTTATTATTTATCAATACATACTTGTTCTCAAAGTCTCAAAGAGAATTCAGCAAAATCTACAGTTTCCTAAGAACTTTGCAAGGTCAGCTGGCCGTAGCATGTGGGGGAAATGGACCCATCCACATTTTAAGTACAGACACGTATGTCTCTGTTTACTATCTAGATGCAAATGCTGCTTTTAGAAATTAGGAACATTATAGGTTTCCTGCCAGCCTATTTTGGGTGTTGAAATGAAAGAATAAGAGAATACGCAACTTAAATACCATTAATGGTTTCAGTTTAGATGATTTATTTTACATTCATAAAATGTTTTTGATGAGATTCCAGGTGACTCTTGCTCTGGCCTACCAAGAAGAAACTGGCATTTAATAGCCAACCTAGAGGAAAAAAACTTGCTTCATTTGGGCTACTATATGTATTTTCAACTGTGGGGTTTGTTCTCATCTTAAAGAGGTTCCCTGGAAAACTAGACAATATGCGATGATTAGTGTGGTTAACATGATTAGCATCAAAGGGAAGTATGTTAGTTCCCTAGAGATGCCAGATCAGACCACAAACCATTTCACAGTTCTGGAGGCCAGAAGTCTGAAACTGAGGAGCAAGTCCTGGAGAAAGAACTGTTTGAGCCCTCTATCGTAGCTTCTTGTAACCTCAAGCTTCCCGACTCTTAGATACATCCCTCCAGCTCCTGCCTTTGCTGTCACATGATGTTCTCCCTGTATCCCTCCACATTGCTTCCTCTGTGTGTCTGCCTCTATGTCATGATTTCCCCTTTTTATAAGGACACTAGTCATACTGGAATAGGGCCCACATTAATGACCACATTTTAACTTGATGACTTCTGTAAAAACATTCTGAGGTATTTATATAAGGACCTCAACATATATTTTTCTCGAGAGACAATGGAAGCAGTGGACAAGATACCTGTGGTGTGTGTGTGTGTGTGTGTGTGTGTGTGTGTGTGTGTGTGTGTGTGTGTTTTCTGGGGATTGAACACTGGGCATCATAAACGCTAGGCAAGTGCTCTACCACTGAGCTACATCCCCCACCATGGACAAGATAGCTCATGAAGTTGTATCTAATCACTTGACAGTCTTTAAGACCTTGATTTGAAGGAACTTTGTTTCTAGATTTATTGAGCTAGGATTAATGTGCAATAAAATTCACCTATTTAATTGTAGAGTTTGATGGATGTTGGTAATTATATATAGTCACTTCAACTACCACCACGAGGAAGACATTGAACAGTTCATTTACCATAAAAAGTTTTATCATGCCTCTTTGGAGTTGAGCCCCACCCCCCACAGTCACTAATCCCAGAAACTGCCCATTTCTTTTGACATTACAATTTTGCCTTTTATAAAAATTTGTAGTTTTTTTGTATTTAATTTCTTTCACTTAGACTGTTTTTGAGATTTGTTCATGGTGTTGCATATATTAGTATTTTTAAAAATATTTTTTAAAATTTTTGATCATTGAATAGCATTCCTCGATATGGTTATACACTATTAATTGATTCACTCATAGGTTCTTGTGCTGTTTTCAGTTTCAGAATATTATGAATAATGCTACATTCACATAAAAGTCTTCGGGTGAACCTAGTTTTTTTTCTCTTGGATAAATACCTATGAAGTATTTCATAATTTTATGAAATAATGCTTCATACTGTTGTCCAAGATTACTACACATTTTACATTCCTCCCAGCAACATACAAAAGTTCCTTCCAGTTTCTCTGCATAAATACCAACACTTGATATTAATTGGGCATTTATTTCATGATAGTCCCTTTTTTAAAAAAAATTTAGTTATAAATAAACACACAGTATCTTTATTTATTTTTATGTGGTGCTAAGGATCAAACCCAGTGCCTCACAGATGCTAGGCAAACTCTCTGCCACTGAGCCACAATCCCAGCCCATGATAGTCCCTTTTTATCATTTTAATGTCTATAGGCTCTATAGTGATCTCCTTTCTCTCATGCCTGTTATTTGTAATTTATATATGTATGTTCTCTCTCCTTTATTCTTTTTTTTTTAAGAGAGAGAGAGAGAATTTTTTTTAAATATTTATTTTTTAGTTTTCGGCAGACACAACATCTTTGTTTGTATGTGGTGCTGAGGATCGAACCTGGGCCACACGCATGCCAGGCGAGTGCGCTACCGCTTGAGCCACATCCCCAGCCCCCTTTATTCTTTTTCTGTCTGTTTGGCTACAGATTTGTAAATTTTGTTGATTTTTTTTTCCTAAGAACCAGGTTCTGGTTCATTGATTTTTTTCTGTTGTTTTGCATTCTGTTTTTCATTTTGTTTTTCTATTATTTCTTTTTCTTGGGATTAATTTGTTCTTTTCTCATTTCTGAAAGTGAGAACTCAGATGATTAATTCCATATTTTTTCTGTTTTAAAACACAAGCTACAGATTTCTAAGAACTTCTCCAGCAGCGTTCACAAATGTACTTATGTTGTGCTTTCACAATAATTTAGTTCAAAATTTTCTAATTTTTGTATGATTTCTTCTTTGACCTACAACTCATTTATAAGGTGATTGTTTAATTCTCAAATTAACTTTTCCTAATTATTGTACTTTATTGATGTAAAATTTAATTATATTGTGGTCAGAGAAGACATGATTTCATTTTTTTAAATTAACGAGATTCATTTTATGCCCGGCATATGATTTAACTTAGAAAACATATAAGGTGCGCTTGAAAATAATGTGTGTCCTATCATTGTTGGGATAGTATTCTCTAAATATCAATTAATTATAAGTGGATTGTTGTATAGATCTTATGTTATTTTTATACTTTTGTCTAGTTCTTCTTGTGAATATTGAAAAAAGAGTATTAAAACCTTCAACTACAGGAAGCGAAAGACCTTTACACTGAAAACTGTAGAACATTGATGAAACAATTTGAAGATGACATAAATAAATGGAGAAACATCCTGTGATTGTGATTGGAAAATTTAATATTGTTAAAATGTTCATATTAAAGATTCGAGATGGCATTCAGGCATGGTGGCACATGCATATAATCCTACTGAGGCAGGAGGCTCACAAGTTTGAGCCCAACTTCAGCAACTTAGTGAGATCCTGTCTCAAAGTTAAAAATAAAATGGGTTAGGAATGTGGCTCAGTGGTTAAGGGTACCTAGGTTCAATCCCCAGTACCAAAAAAAAAAAAAAAAAGATTCAAGATGGCAAATAGGGGAAAGGCTGCATTTCCATTTGCTCTATGACTTTGGATTCAAGCAGCTAGAGTACTTTTTTCTGAGCTGTTGGGAATCTACAAGGATGCTACAAGTTTATCAGGTAGAGACTAAACCCAATCAAGAGATAGTGCATCTTGTTCCACACACAAATTAATCATACTCAAACTTCAGCAATGCTTTAATACAAAAAACAGAAAAGACAAACTAACAACCAGGCTCCAGCTAGGAATAGCTGGGCGGGGGGTACTCAAGTCCCACTCATGGACACCTACTCAAATAGAAAAATCAGAATTAACACCAAAATTATGGATATCACACCTAAAAGTTGTCTCAATCTAGATCAATCTAGGGCACTTTGGCAAAAGAAGGCTGTGCCCTAAAAGACTCACACATAAGAGTGGAGGAGAAATCCATCCCAACAGATGCATAAAATCCAACACAGGAATAAGGAGATAAAGATATTGAAAAAGAACAAAACAGAAATCTTGGAAATGAGAGATATAATAAATCAAATAAAATGTTCAGCTCAACATCTTAATAGAGTAGACCATACTGAAGACAGAATATTAAAATTGTAAGACCAAGTGGCTGACCTTGAAGATGCGGACAGTATGAAAGAAGATAAAATAAGTAACCATGATCGGCATACAAAAGAACTGTAGGACAACAAAATAAATCAAATTTAAGAATCATTGGAATTGAAGAAGGTTGTGAGATGCAGGCTTGTAGCATGGATAACCTCTTCAGGGAAATAATAACAAAAATCTCCAAACCTTGAAAATGAGATGAACATCCAGATACAGAAATGCAAATAGACAAGATCAAAAAAGAACTTTTCCATGACATATTATGATTAAAATATCTAACACATAGAACAAATATAGAATTTTTTAATATTTATTTTTTAGTTGTAGGTCAAAATACCTTTATTTATTTATCTTTTTTTTTTAAAAATTTAGATGAGTAGACCTTTATTTTATTCATTTACTTATACATGGTGCTGAGAATCAAACCCAGTGCCTCACACATGCTAGGCARGCGCTCCACCACTGAGCCCAAGCCCCAGGCCCTATTTATTTATCTTTATGTGGTTCTGAGGATCGAACCCAGGGCCTCACACATGCTAGGCGAGCACTCTACCACTGAGCCACAACCCTAGCACAAATATAGAATTTTTAAAGTTACAATAGAAAAATGTCAGGCCATATTTAGTGCAAGYCAATCAGATTACTTCTGATTACTTATCAGACAAACTAAAGACTCCGGGAGAGTTTGGAATGATGTGTTCCATGCTCTGAAAGAAATAACTGTCAACTAAAGTTGCTGTATCCATAAACTATCCTTTAGAATTGAAAAACCTTCCAAGATAAGCAGAAACTAAAGAATTTATGACCACTAAGCTGGCACTACAGACAGTACTTCATATAGAAGATATAAAAAACACTCAAGAGCTCACAAATAGACCAATATCATTTGAAGAGCAGCTAAGCAAACAAAAGAACCAAATTAAACATTAGAAATAAAGTAAAAGGAATTAAACATCTCTATAATAATTTTGAATGTAAATAGACTCAACTCCTAGTTAAAAGAAATAGGGTGGCAGAATTGATTTAAAAACCAGACCCAACTAT